ATTAATTTATGAGACATAACTATCTATTACTTCTAATTTAATAAAATAACTCATTATTAATTTCTAGAAATAGCAGCTAAATTGTACCTACATATATTTTCTTCCAATTCACTTGCTGATGTCACGAGCTGCGGCGGGCGGCGTTCTTGTGGCGGTCACGTTCTGCTGACATCAAACAACGTGGCCCGTGCTGCTGTTCCTGTTGACGGCCGGGACGGGGACTTCCTAATTTGATGGTCTTGCTTGCATTTCTAAGGTGCTGTGGTTGAGCTCCCTTCTCAACGAAAGAATAGCATTTCTTCGGCACTTCTTGTACAATAGGTATGCGGCACCGACGAACAGAATGACGAATAGCGTGATGAGCAGTATCTCGGTAAGGTTCAACTTGGTCTTCGTTACTTGAGCGCTTCCACCGGCGTTTTGAGCGATGATAATTTCTTCTTTGGACTGTGAGCTACGGCACATTGTTATTGGTAATTGGCGCGATTGTCCCAAAAATAAGATTCTTCATAATAATTTTCAATCTTCAAACTTCTTCTTACTTGACGTTCAGTTCAGTTTCAATATCTTCTTTCTTCAATTTATTTCTATAATTTTTCTTCCAAATTTCGCAGGGTCGCCATGTGGTATGTTGGGTGATGGCGGCAGGTTATAATAAATACAAAGACGTAGATAGGTTGGTGTCCATTTATTGAAGAAGCTTAATGGTACAGAACATACTTATTTATAATATTAGTGCACTACGTAGTTACACACACACACACTTATAAAATATAACACACAATAAAATTACAAAACATCAGCATTTCACGTGGCCTACTTTCGTGTCATTCAATGTTGCGTTGTATTATTAATACATATTTATTAAATTATTTTCATACTATCACAAGCCAATGTTTCTAACACTTATTTTATCTGGAGTAAAGATGACTGTTACGTAATTTGTTTGCTTTATCACTACTCTTCAATTTAGTGGTATTATAATAAATGCGTTCAAAGATTGGGAATAGCTAGTTTTAGGTCTTTTTAATGTCACTTTTTCTATTATGATTTTACATGCGTATAAAATTTGACCTATTGAAAAACATTTTTGTGGTTTGTTTACATTTTGGCTGAGAGGAAGTTGAATAGGGTATAGCTAATAGTATAAAATAAAGACCAGTTTGAACCGGATGCAGCAAGATATTGGGATACGTCAACAACGTGGAAATTTAGAGTGATCATTACATTATTCTGCACTCGCCCTTCTCGATGCTTACTACGTGTGAATATAAAATCTACTAGTCATCAAAAAATAATAGGCCCGTTTTGTCATTTGTGCGCCCATAAAGTTTTATATTTGAAATTAGTTCTAAACTTGAAAAAAATAATGTATCATATAATAGTTTGTAATAAAATTGATCGAATCGGTAATTTGGGGACGCAGAATTAAAATTTTACAAAATTATATAAAATTATGGTCGTTAAATAGAATATGGTTCCGGAAACTTTTTATTTCATGTTTAAAACCATTAAATATAATATTTTTAACTAACATAAACCGCTATTTGACAGAATCTTTAAAATATTCAGTAAAAATTAACGAAATTCACGCGTAATCGTTGCTATCGTACCCAAATTCAGAAACATGTTATTATGTTTCTGAAATTGGGTACGATAGCAACCCTCTTGACCATAAAACTGAGTGTTTCTTTTTATCGTGAGTATTGTGTACTGACTCGTATGGTTACATCACTATTTACAAATGTCAAAACGGAGCTATTATTTTGTGATGACTGTACAGACCGTTCACCATTAGATGTCCCCTGCGTTGGGAATTGGCAGCATTGCCTACGGTGTTGCCAACAATACATAACCCCCCCCCCATCCCCCCAGTATCTAAACTTGTATGTACCCTCCACAGTTTAATATGTTTAACTTGCATATTTTTAAATAATATACAGTTATAAGACCAGGAAGGCTGTAAATGATGGCACGATTTGAATTTTAAATTATTTATTAATTTATTTTTTCCTGACAGTAATTATGGTCGAAAGAATCGATTCCAGCCATATCACTGTTATTTGTATAAACGTCATCATCTGTCGCATCCGAAGCTGTGCTGCTGTGATTTCCCAGTTCAATTATGAATTTATCTTATCAATAAATGATATTATCCATTAAGTTCATAAAACTTGTCCATCCGTTTCAAGTTTTTGACGTTGTTTTCCAGGAGACTTGAGTTTTTCAGACGTAGAGGCCGTCTCCGCTGCTTGGAAGATCCCTCCTTCTCCATGCTGGGGGTACACGTCGACTCTGGCCCCCGGGCCAGAGTCTACGTGTGCCTCTACAGATCCCACACCGGCGGTGTTGAGACAACTCGACTTTTTGAACACCTTAGTCGGGCAGCAGATGACGCGCAGGAGCGATTTCCCAATGCAGAATTGGTGTTTTTGGGGGACTTTAATGCTCACCACAATTTGTGGTTAAGTTCTTCCAAAACTGACCATGCAGGGATCTCTGCTCACACATTCGCTCTCACGCATGACTTGAAGCAACTGGTTGATCAGCCCACCAGGATCCCAGATATTCCAAGTCAAGCGCCTTCTTTACTGGACCTTCTGCTCACGACCCATCCACAGGGCTATCAGGTTGTGGTAAGAGCCCCCCTGGGCTCGTCCGACCACTGCCTGATATCTGCCAAAGCACCACAGGCCAAGCCTCCGCGTCCAGCGGTGGTCAAGCGCCGTATCTGGCATTATGGGTCGGCAGATTGGGACGGTATGCGTGATTACTTTGCGTCCGTCCCTTGGAAGCAGCGCTGCTTCAGTGACAGGGACCTATCGGGCAGTGCCGTTGCCATTACTGAGGAGATCATAATGGGTATGGAATACTATATTCCTCATTCTGATCTCATCAGTAAGGGCACACGTAACCTCTGGTTCAATCACGACTGTGCTGAAGCTGCTTCGCGTAAGCAAGCGGCATATCGTGCTTGGATCAGAGGCCGCGCTCTCAAGGATCCCGGGGTCGATTCACTCAAAGCAGCCTACAATTCTGCTTCCAAGGCCTGTAAGAAGGCTTACATCAGAGCGGATGCCCAGCGTGTTGCACGTGTTGGCCAGGAACTTATAACGCATCCTGCGGGCTCCCGTAGCTACTGGCGTTTGGCCAAGGCCGTGCAAAAAAACTTCTGCCAGCCCTCGCTGCCACCTCTGAGATGCCCAGACGGAACACTAGCTCATAAGCCGCAGGAGAAAGCCGATTTACTGGCAAAACTCTTTGCGGCTAACTCCCGAATCGATGATTGCAATGCACTGCCACCATCATTACCTCACTGTGGCACAACGATGCCTGATATTAAAATCAGGCAGCGTGAGGTTCGTGCCGAATTGCAATCACTCGACGTCCGGAAAGCTAGTGGACCTGATGGCATCCCAGCAGTAGTACTTAAAAAATGTGCAGCGGAGTTGTCTCCCGTGCTCACGCGCTTGTACCAATGCTCGTATTCTTTGGGGCGTGTGCCGGAGACTTGGAGAGATGCTAACGTGCAACCGGTGCCCAAAAAAGGGGATCGCTCAGACCCGGCAAACTATCGGCCAATAGCAGTCACCTCAGTTTTATGTAAAGTTCTAGAAAAGGTCCTTAATAACCATCTGACCCGCTACCTAGAGGATCACTCCCTGATTAATGATCGTCAATATGGATTTAGACCGAAACGATCGACGGGTGATCTTCTAGCGTACTTAACTCATATCTGGGGTGAGGCTATCGACAAGCGTGGCGAGTCGTTGGCTATCAGCCTTGACATTGCCAAGGCGTTCGACAGGGTCTGGCACAAAAGCCTTCTCTCCAAGCTTCCGGCATACGGTCTGCCAGCCCAGTTCTGTTCTTGGGTAGCTGACTTCCTGCATGAGCGTAGAATAGTGTCCTTACGGATGGTAGCAGTTCGCGGTTCATGTCAGTGAATGCCGGCGTTCCCCAGGGCTCCGTCCTATCCCCCACTCTCTTTCTGCTGCATATCAATGACTTGATTCCTCTTGGGAATATTCATTGCTATGCAGACGATAGTACAGTGCATGCGGGGTATCTCGGACAAGCAGCGGCTGGGCAGGCAGTAACCAGGGAGAAACGGGAAAATCTTGTCATTGAACTCAATCAGGCTTTGGACCACATTTCCGAATGGGGTACCAGGAACTTGGTTGGGTTCAATGCCAAGAAAACTCAGGCTTGCGCTTTCACGGCAAAAACATCGCCATTCCTTCCCCTTCCATCTCTTCAGGGCACAACACTACCGCTGCAGAGCAACATTTCCATGCTCGGTATGGAAGTTCGCTCAGACCTGAATCCAAAGGACTACATCGAAACCGTGATCAAAACAGCTTCACGCAAACTCGGAGTCCTGAACAAGGTGCGGCGTTTTTTCACGCCCGATCAACTGTGCTTGTTGTACAAAACGCAAGTGCGGTCCTGCGTGGAATATTGCTCGCACCTCTGGGATGGCTCCGCCAAGTACTTGCTCGATGCTTTGGATAGGTTACAGGGGCGCGCGATCCGCATCATAGGCGATGAGGAGGTGACTAAACACCTTGAGCCTCTTCAATTACGCCGTGACGTGGCGTCACTAAGCGCGTTCTATCGTTTGTACCACGGCGAGTGTTCTGAGGAGTTATTCTCTCTTATCCCACCTTCCCCTTTCCTTCAGAGGACCACGCGCGCTGGCCTACGTTGTCACCGTTGTTGTTTTTGGCCACAATTCCAACGCGTACAAAGAAATTTGGCGACTCATTTCTTTGTCGCACTATCCGTAAATGGAATGCTCTGCCCGCTCACGTGTTCCCTCCCTCTTACAACCTGGGATCCTTTAAAAGAGGCGTGAAGAAGCAACGTGCAGGCCGGCAGGGTGAGGATGGCTGGTATGGCAGGTCGAACTGCTGTATCAGCTATCTTCGCGTCTGGACTTCACCTTCACTTAACATCAGGTGGGGTAGAGTCATTTGTCGGACCTAACTATAAAACAAAAACTTCACCTTCTTTAGATATTCAACTCACGGTTTTCTCCGACATGCCTGAAATAGACACATAAAATTTGTATTCTTTTATAACATTAAATATTTATATAAGCAGAAACAAAGACAATATCATAACGAGATTAATTAAATTCACTGAGATGCCTACTTTTTTAATTTAATTCTTTATGTCAGTAAATTCTATATATCTCCCTATTTTACTAACCTGTCATGTCGGCGACGCGAGATCGCATTCGATTGAGTGGAATTAACGGGGTTGAGTTTGCCTTTTCTCTCTCTCTCTCTCTTGCACTGCTTTTAAATGGCTTTAGCGTGATAAATTCAATAATAACACAATAATGACAGAAATACTTGCTACTACTTACTTACTTACGGTGAACGGTCTGTACCTATTATGTAGCACAAAATAGATAATACAGAAATTAAACTACATACAAAGTGCGCTTGAGCAACGCACACAAACATACCGCTCACGGACATGCTATCTCGGGCCGCTAGGGACCACTGCGAGCGCGACTTCCATCCGCTTGAGACATTGTCTGTGAAATTATTTGAGGAAAATGAAGAAAAAAATTATAACAACTACAACTGTTCAGTAGACGGTTGTTTATGTTCAACATTAAATGGTAAATTGTCACATAACATTGAAATTGAAATATTTTAGTTATTTTCCATTCTTTCTGTTTCATTTTCAACAATAAATCAAACAACAAGATACATGTATACGAGTGCCACTACAAAGAATTAATTTTTGTGCACAAGTCAAAGTTGACAATCCTAAAGCGGCCGCCGAGCGTAGGTATCAAAAATGAATTTCATACATGTCGAAAGTTCTGTACTATCTATTTTGTGCTACAAAGCCTACCTACCCTTCAGTATATAGTTCCCGAAGCTATATTAAACTGCCCGTTAAAAAAAACCGTGTTTAAATAGCACAGGAAACCTTCGAGTTGATGTAACATCCATCTCATCCCCTCGACGATACAATGATACCTTTCGAATAAGGTTAATTGTTGATTTCACGGATACAGATATTGCAAACCTCTGGGTTTACACAATATGGAAGAGAACCACTAATTTATTCTGCCAGGGGCGCAGGTGTCCAATTGCCCATAACAACAAATAGCGACAGCTGTTAAAGTCACAAGGAAAACCGACAAATTCTGATAGACTTGGGCTGCGTTCCAAACCTACGCTTCAGGTGCAACATATGTCAAATTTGTATACATTTTATGTCAAAATTGAAACGTCATCAGGGTAAAAAGTTGCACTCAGAGCGTAGGTTCAGAACGCAGCCTTGAAGTGACACAGGGTTTTTTTATGTTAAAGTGGTGGCAAACAAGCAAATGGCCCGCCTGATGGTAAGCGGCAACCTTACCATGACGCTTTCGATAAAAAAAAGTATCAAGACCCAATCCCCTACCCCGTGGAGTCCTGGAACCTTACTTACCGACAGAAACACATACCACCAGAAAGTAGTGTTATTTTTTCTGTAAGGTCAAGGTTACTTACCTAGACAGACGCTCCTATTCGAGCGGAAAATCCGCTATACCCTACCTCTCATAAGGTTGCTTGTTATGGGCCAAACGGCCATAAGCGCCATCTGTAATGAATTTTGCGTTTTATTCCCCATTTACAGTATAGAATATAAGAAACACTTTTCATCCACTAGTAGTCTCAAATTTTCAACTTTCGTATTCTTCCGCAGTGCCAAGTCTGGAGGTACATCAAGAGACGCGGCGAGTTCCACAAGCTCAGAAAGCGACAATGAATCGTCAACCTCCGATGATGAGTAGATATTTAATTTGTATTTAGGACTAATAAATATTATCATAGAGAATTTCATCAAGCTTTTATTTTACATACCTACTAAGTATCTAACTGTGTTTGAGTGGAACTACGATGGAGTTGTGATTGATGATTTTTTAACAAATTTCATTATTGCGAACCTAAATAGTAACCCTAAAATTGGTACATATGTTTTCATGGTAATGTACGTTAACGGCTCATGCCCACGAGACGGTTTTTCGCCGGAGCTAAGGCCGGTGTCGAACCGGGTCTATGTCCGGTCGTCAGTCTTCTATGGGACACTATGAAGCTAATCACACGACGCCAGCGCTAGCGACGGTACGCCAAACCGTTTCCGGTCGTAGACAAAGACCCGGTTTGACACCGGCCTTAGCTCCGGCAATCAACCATCTTGTGGCTACGAGCTGTTAATGCTCTAGTGATGCGAAATGATAATAATTATTATTTAACACAGCATTAAGATCCATTTTCGTAGTGCAACTGTGCCAGTGAATCCACTTGCCTTGACAGTGGCACTCGTCTTCTCTATACTTCAAAAAACCTATTTTTGATGTAGCTAGGTGTAAGTAGGGTTGTACTATTTTTCTAATGTATCAAAAATAACCTATCAATGACCTAATTTACTTTCACTCGGTGCAGTAAATATTTTCACGGTAGAAAGATTATGACAAATCGTTACTGCACACAATAGGATACCGGCGGTCGTTAGTTCGAAAACAATGTGCCCATTTTTGTGCGTAAAAGCACCTATTGAACAATGAACGTGACACATTGGTCCAGTGACATGGACCCATTTCTCCAAACGAGCGAGTGTTAAAAACGATAATTGTCCGAGATGCGAGGTGTGAAGACACGAGTCTCCGCTATTAGTCGCCTGGTAGCCTTGCAGTATTGTAGTAACCTTGACTATGTTTATCGGGAAAATGTTGCAATTGAACTGTGCTGTATTATTAGCGGTAAGTAATTTCGTCAATCGATTCCTATTAACGTGTTTCATAGATTTTTACTGTTGTATTAATTTGTGCTTTGCTAGCACTATTATGAAACTAGCAAATACTTTTTAAGTTACAAATGTAAAGATTAATTAAAACGTGTTTGTATTGGGAATTTTGTGCCTATTGCATTATTAAACCAATCAATCGTTTATAGTTACCTAGCGATGTACAATCTACTTAGATGTATATCTTTTATATTCGTCTATGTGTATTAATTTTCGCTAAATTTAACGCGTCAATCTCTTACAATGGCTCACAGTGACGTCCTATTTTAATCGGCAGAACAAACAATGTCACTTAATTAAATATATTCATAGCGTCTAGGAAAGTCCATTCTAAATACCAAATATTTATCTTTCTAGGTGATACTTTGTAAACAAGCACATGCCGCAAACTTCAATTCAAACGGTTTTGTTTGTGGCCCTTACGGTTTTTCTTGCGAAGGACCTACCAAACTCAGATTATGCGATGAAAAAAACTTAAGGGGACCTTCATTCAAGTGTCCCTCCGATTCGGTCTGCAACGAAGATTCAATCGATGTGTGCGACAACACGATTAATTACATCGATCCTGAAGTGAAGAAGAGACTGCGTTGCCATAGAAACGAACGCATCGCAGACCCCACTGTACCCAATTGTAAAGGCTATATCCTTTGCATTCCCAACAACAATCGCTTCCAAGGCATCAAATTTAAATGCGGTGGCGATACTGTATTCAACGGCTTCACTCGCACTTGCTCAAGCCCGGAAAAGTATAAATGCCCCGTAGTCAACACAACCAAGCCATCTCTAGAACTTTTTGGAAATCAAAACAGAAGAGGGGATATGCCCAACAATGTGCCGAAGTTTGAACCGACAAGGGATCGGGAAAGTAATCCGATAGAGTGTAAGCATTACAAGTTTACTGTTACTGATGAAAACGGCCCTGTGCGTGCAGCGTACTTCTGCCCATCGAGACCTGTAAGGGGAGAAAATTCCATAAGATGCACAGTCTTCTCTAGCAAATATTGCCTCACTTTGGAGAGAGACGACGAAGATCAGTTTATGCAAAATTTTGGATTAGCCTATAGAAAACCTCGCATGCAGAACCTCGAAGAAGGTACAGAAACTATAAAAACAATTTAGAATATTATTAGTGTAGATACTACATATTAAGTGCATAATACATTTTCTACAAGCAATAATATTTATTTTGATAATAATATCCTATTTAAGTACATATCTCTTAAGTTTAACAAAATTTCTCAAATAAAACATCATAATTTACTTTGCTGTTTTCTTTATTTTACAAAATACAGGGAATAATTCGAACAATCACATTTAATTAAATAGAAATATAGCTAATTTTTCATTATTTATTAACATATCGCATTAACATTCATTACTGTCAGCATCTACGCACTTTTTTTCATCTTTATGAAATACTTCATCACTTTCACATTTTTTCTTACGAGTACGAAATTCAGATTTATTATTTTTTGTGCAAAGATAATACTTTCTACAGTCACTTTTGTCCGCGAATTTTCCTTCCTTTTCACATTTAAATATTTTTTCAGATTTTTTTATACTGTCTATTTTACTGCTTGCTTTGTTTGTGTTTGAATTTTCATTAAAGCTTATGTCACTTTTGCTACTATCATAAGATACCGAAGTTTGTCGTTGAGATTCTGGTTCAGTATCAACCATACATTTGACCAATGTCTTATTTAAAAAATAACCATTAAGACATTGAAATTTATACCTAACAAAACTTATATTTCTTCGCACGCATATGTAGTAAGTATTTGGTTTTAAAATATCAGAAAATCTTCCTGCTGTTGTACATTTAAATTTACTTTGTCGAATACAGTGTGACATATTTTTAGTACATTGCTTTCTTATGTCACTAAAAACTGTACGTGCTGGACATTTTCCTATAATAGGTTCGAGTTTTCCTATGCAAATGTAGAATATACTGCAATCTTCTGTATCAGAATATCTACCTCTACTTCGATTATGACAATGAAACTGTAATTTTTGTACATGAATAATTGTCTCCGGCTTTTGTAGAATATGTGTCTCATTTTTTTCCATAGTATTATTCTTACTAAAGCTTTTTTGCTGGCTTGATTTTGATGTAGTTCCATTATTCATCGCGACTATTGATTGTAGCGATTTCCTATATTTGACGTTTATGGTAGACCTTGTTGAATTTATTTGGATAAATGGGCTTTGTTCACCCACATTTGTTTTCGAAGATATTAATGAATCATTTCCTAATGGTATATTTTGCGAATTGTTATACAAATAACTTGAATTGGTTATATTATTGCCAAAACTTTGGGGCGCACTTGGATAGTTCCATGTCCCATTAGTTGTTAAAGCTGTTTCTCTAGTTGGCTGTGTCGGGCCTCCAATTTTTAATGCGTCTTTGGTATAGTCATTTAAATCTGTACTAAGAGAAATATTTGGCTGGACCTTGTTTTTTAAATGATATTCATATGCCTGTGCTGTGATTTTTAAATTATCAGTTGGTTGCATTTCAGGTTTATAAATGCTGTTAACATTAGGTCGCATGCTTTGTGCACGACTTTTCTTCTCTGTTTGAGTCTGAATGTTATCAGTTAGTTTTGTAATGGTATGAAAAGTTTCCGAAATTGTTTTATTCGTTAATATGCTACTATTGGCATCAGAATTATAACCTGTATTAAGAAGAATTGGCGAAATATTTTTTTTTACCGTCTTCATGTGATTTGATGTCGCAACCAGTTTCTCATGTATCCTCCTGTAAGTGTTATTAACTCCTGCATATATATCATTAACAGATGATTTGTCAATAATGAATTGATAAGAAGCTGTTGGAGGATCAGTAACCTGTGTATTGTTTATTGTTTCTTTGTTTTCTTTGTTAATTTGAAATCGCGTCGTAGAAGGTAAATTTGATTGGTTAGTATTGACTGATTCGTTTATTGAATCTACTTGTAAATAACCTGTGGTTGTTTCAGGCATTTGGTAGTCAACTATATCATTTTTGATCTCCATTTTTACAGTAACAGGTTCTTGAAAACTTGTCAAATTCGACACGGAAAACATTTTAATAAAATTGTAGGTTAAGGGTGATTCACTCAAATTTACACTTTTAGTATTTGGATCAGACACACCCGTGTCCATATTAGCATTCGATTTTACAACATTAATTGTTCCTATTGTGGTTTCAGAATACTTTTGCATATTTGCACTTGTAACTCCTATTCTAATCTGGTCTGTAGTGGCCTGAATGTGTTTCGTACCAGTGTTATTTAAATCTATCGTCATCGTGGTATTCTTATTATCCAAAAAAGGAGTATAATTAGTAGTGTCTTGCTGACTAAATTTTGAGTCGACATCTATTAGACTTGTTGCTGGTTCTGTGATTAAAGAGTCATTGGTATAAGAATATATTTTTTTTGCATCTTCAGCATCTGTTTGCAATGTCTTTAAAACACCATGGTGATCATTTTTTGTTTTAGAGGAAGACTTGGTATTACTAGTAGAAGTTTCCGGAAAAATTAATGGTTTTTCTTTTTCAGCAAATTCAGCCGTGGTATTTGCGCCAGTGTTCGTAGCTATTGTTATCTCCATTAAACCAGAGAATGGTGTAACTAAAGTTTGGTTGATTGTACTATCATTTAATACAGTTATCGTGTTCTTATATTGTTCAGTTGTATATGTAATAAGCGACTCTGGTGCAGTAGGTATACTTTTCAATATATGGCTTTTATTATTATGAATGTTCACTGTCTCCAAATTTGATTCATCGATATTTTCCGATTGTGTAATACTATTTACTCTTTTATTACTATTTGTAACATTATTTTTGTCTATAATTAATTCAGAAACTTTTTGTTTGTTTAAGCTTTGATATTTGATTTCAATATGGTCTGAAGTGACATGCGTATGTTTTGTATCAGTTTTATTTAATTCTTGTTTCGTGGTGTTTGTATTATCAAATAAGGAATGATTATCAAGCTCTATTTGACTTGTTACTGGTTCGGTGATCGGAGAACCATTTGTATTAGAGTATAAATTATACGAGTTTTCGGCATGTGTTTGCTTTATATTTAAAACATCCTTGTATTCATTTTTGATGTTAGAAGAAAGTGTAGGTGTACTAGTAGTAGTAGTTTCTGGAAAAAGTAACTGATTTCCATTTTCAATATATTCAGTCGTAGAATATATGTAAGTGTTCGGGGTTGTTGTTTGAAGTTCTGAATTCTGAGCTATCTCCGTCAAGCCAGACACAGATGTAGGATAATAAGTTTGGTTGATTACACTATCATTTAATATACTTATCTCGCTTATATACAATTCAGTCGTATATGAAGTTTGAGGCACAGCTGCATTGGTTATATTTTTCAATTTAATGTTATTAGTATTATTAAGAATGTTTACCGGCTCCAATTTGAATTCATCGAAATTGTCGAATTTCCTAGTTCTATTTACTATTCGATTATTAACATTATTATTTATAGTAGGTATATTGTCATTGGTATTTGCTAACTGTGCTGTGTACTTAATGTCGTCATACATGGAGTTAGTTGCAGTTACGTATGAAGTCGTATGTTCTAAATGTCTCTCCTCAACTCTATTACTATTTTCCGTATTTGACGCTATATCCAGTAACGTCGGTGGTGCAGAAAATAATGTTAAATGTGTTGTACTTAAATCAACATCACTCTGGAGTTCGAGTGGCGGCATGGTGTTTCTGGATACGGCGTCTGTAGTTCCCATGTTCCTTTTATTTGGCATAAAGTCATTTTCTGTGATTATTTCTTGATTTCGGCTATTTTCAGTTGTTGGTGTATCGAATTCCTCGATTTTAGTTGCTGTATTAATATTGATATCCTTATAAGTGTTTGTTACAATATCATTTATTGTAATCATAACTTGACTAAGATTACTATAATTGGTAATGTCATATAAAGTACTATTATTATTCGTCACTTTATTTAACGCTTTATCTTTATTGTGGACATCAGTAGTGTTTTTAACAAAAACTTCTGCTGCGTTATTTTGATTAAAATCGATGTCCGAATTATTTTGTAAATAATTATTTAGATTATTTTCAACTATATTATCAACGTTTGTTACTGCAGATGCATTACTTGGATGAAAATCTGTATATTGCAATTCATTAATTATTGATGTTGAATTTGTTACATATTTGTTATTTTCATTTATGATGTCAACATCAATTTGATCTCTCGCAATGGACATACTCGAATCTGTTGACATTTGAATATATCCCATTGTTCTTGATATATTATCTGTTACTTCTAATAGTTCTGTTTTATTATCTGTAATTGTGTATTTTATTTTATGCAACTGTGTGTCAAACGGTGCACGTGTATCTGTTGTAGATTTAAAATACTCTTTCGTACTTTGCAAATTCGTTGTAACTAGCTCCTGTAAACTTTTCAATTTACTTGATGAACTGGCATTAAAAATATCTGTTTTATTATTTATATTGGCATCTAGTTCTAATTGATAGGTCTGGGTATAATTCTGTTTATTTACATCTTCTGCAGGTGGTAAATGACTAGTTCCACCCGGTCCTTGAAAGTTATCTGAATTTAATAATATTGTATCTATTGGTAATCCATCATTTAAAAGCTCTGTTTTAGTGGTTGTACTAATATCTGTTGGAGTTTGATTGGATTCAGTTGTATTTGATATGGTATCGGGATATATGAGATATTCATGTTTATGTGATACGCTTTTATTTGTAGGGGCTTGATAAAAATCCGTTTTGTTGATTACATTGGAAGAAAGAGTATTTTCACTTATTCCAGTTAGGCCTTGAAAGTTGTCTGATATATTTAATAAATTAGTATCTGTTGATGTTTGAACGTTTTCTATTTTGTTTTGCATGGTGGTATTTTTTTTCGAGGGATAAAGCGGTTTATTCGGTACCCTATTCTCTGTTCTGGTTTCAAAATAACCAGTGGTACTTAATGGACTACTAGTAGTATTTTCTTGTACAAGCGCAGTTATAGTATTAAGATTTGAAATACTATTTATTAAAGTTTTAGCTGGCATTTGAAAGATGTCAGTTGAAGTGAGTTTCATAGTGTCGTTTAAAATTTCGAAAGTCTGAGTTTTCCTGGTATTACTGGTATTTACTGCGGTTTTGTAATCAATTGTACTTGACACATTGATATCGACTAGATCTTGAAATGTTTGGTTTAGTTCCCTACTAACTGTAGAAACTTGAACTGTATCTGCTTTGTTAGGTGAAATGGTATCATCGAATGAATTTCGACCAAGCATCGTTTCATTTTCTGTAGCAGTATCCAGCAAAGATTTAAAAGACTCGGTTGTTATCGGTACATTATTACCAATTGACTCCTGTGGAAGATCTGATTTATCCACATATACATTATTAGAAACTTCGGGAAGGACTGTAATACTTGGATTACTACTACCTGTTGTATAGGAAGACAACTCTTTTGGGCTTGATGCACTTGTTTCAGTTGATATGGTTGTTGGTTCAATGACTGGCGATAAAACATTCACTACACTTTTATTCATAGTCTCTAACTTCACAGGCTTTGGAAATTCACATTCGTAATAGTTAGTTTTTCGACATTCAGTTGAAAGAGGACACGGTATAACAAAACTGTCTAATGCACTTAAAACACCGCCACCCAAATCCACACATATCATGAAATGAGTTGAGTTCACGCAGTGGAAGGCTTTCCCATCACAGTTGATATTTGCAGATATCACCGGCGACGCAAAAAGAATCTAAAAATAAATAGAAAAAAAAATAAGAAATCTGTAAACGATATTATAATTATATATCACTTTGAATGAATATTGTACATTAAATACCAAAATTATTATCCTCGTGAATTCTTTGGAAACATTTCTGCCGAAAGCCATTTTTCACGGGTCGTTTTTCTTCGGAACTTTAGTCGTTTCAGTGTTCGTATTTTACTGTCGTTTATCTCGCCAAGTCTTCATTCGAATGAAAGGTTTACAGTGCTCTAACACAATTTGTATTGTTGTGTAAGACATGTTAGTTTAGACTGACTCATTTATAACACGTTTAGATTACAATGACATTACACAAATAATGTCGACGGCAAGTTTCCTTTGGCCTAACACCATTCTTCAGTTTTCTGACAACTATATTACTTACCTAGTTACAAACATTAACATAAGAAAAAATATTAATAAAAGATTACTACAATCATTAATTCTTAGACAAACATACAAGGGGCCTTATTTGTCCAACAGATTCACTTATTAGAGTAGGTTCTCATAACTTGTATTTTGATACAAGTAGGCTCATGGAGTACTCAAAATATACTTACCTCTATTCTAAATGTCTACAAATGGACTATCAGCAATACTTGAAGTGCCCTTCAGTCCACTGAAAACTTCATTACACCCCGAAACTGTATAACAAGATTGATAGAAATAATTTCTGAAGTTACTTACTTTTCATCACGTAGGTACAGACAAACAAAACTATTAGATATTTCTTGTGTTTTAGTGCATCTTAAAATCAAAATTAATTATAATTATGATTATACAATTATAATAAATAAAAAGTAAATATTACTATTATTATATACCTATATATTTTAATTTAATTGTAATTTCTTTATTTACTAACACCACACCTAAGAAATATTGTAACTAACACTAGTGTTAGTAGTACATATCTCTAGAGATATATAAATTTTAATATGGAGAATGTACAGTCTCTGAAATAAATTATTATTATTATTAAAATCTGTTTTTCCCCCTAGGTAACATTTTCTCTTTAGGGAATCTGTTACTACGCGACTCTCATGCACTTTCGCAATGCTTGCATATAGTGGCCAACCAAAAATTGCACTTAATTCATTATTAAAAAAAGTTTCTTCAATATGAACCATCTTATTATTACAAAATAATACAAAATGTTAACTTATGTTAACCCTGCTCCAAAACATACTACTACCACTGTTTGATAAAGTAAGGACATAGGCAGCTCGAGATTCAACTTAAGACCACGTTTTGTACTAACAGGTGGTGGATTTTGTATATTCGTTAAATGTAATAAAAGAATGATTAACAACGTTTGAAATGCAGCGATTGTGAAAATCAATCTCAAAACTCAGAAAAGATTTCTTGTATAGTCCCCTTTTGATTTTTAGAATATTATTTAGTACTTATTTATTTTTCATAAAAATTTAATACATTTATACTGTTTATAGCTTCAATAAATAAATATACACATAGTTAAAATTTCGACTGTCTACCGCCTACTGACAGACGAATGTACGGACAAACAGCGGAGGTTTAGTAACAATTCTATTGCCATCCATTTGGTAGCAGATCAAAAAATAAAGCAGATAAAATTGTTCAAGAGAAATTAAACACACAAGGAGTCCATACTTTGATCTTAATTCCTACTGTTTAGTTTGTATTTCAGTAACTCTCATAACATATTTTTTTACCATAATTCTCTGACATTTATCATAATAACATATCATTCTTATGATCTGGGTTACGTTATCGTAACGGATGTTTATGCAATCAAATATCTAGAAGAGGTGTTTATTAATATAACTTTATGACTTAAAAAGGTAAGTAAATTAATGAAACGCAATATGATCATCTAAGTATTTAGTACATACGATGTTTATGCTTAAAACATAGTTGAATTATAACTATGTATTTATATTTAGGAAACGAAACCCGTGCCATTTAAAAGCTTCTGCACAATATATCTCCTAATGCAGTGGTGCTCAAACTTGAACTGCTGGCGATCTACCTCAAAATTTTTAGGCTACTACGATCGACTCTGAGAGGCTGCAAGTATGTGTGATGCAGGGCTGTCGTACATACACGATACACCCCACATACCTACCTACCTAGGTATGGTGTACCGTAGCATATATAGATATTAGCTTTCCGCACAATGTTCATTATTTTAGTCAAGGTTTGGGTTAGGTTTAATTAGGTTATTCTCTACAATATCAATGAAAAAACTCATAGGTCCTTTGATAAAGCCGCATTTTGCCGCTAGCATAGTGTTATTTTATTACGTTATAAATTTTTGTAGTTTATTTAAGTACCTACTTATTAAAAAAAATCTTCTCGAGATCTACTCAAAAAGCACTCGCGATCGACCGTTTCAGCACCCCTGTCCTAATGTAATAAGATGTTTAAACAGGTAGCCTAGTATATCTATCGGAAGTAGCTTACTCGTGTTTATAAGTTAAGACAAAAGACAGTCGTCGATAATAAACTATTTTTTTATTATTTTTACTCTTACACATTCTATATGTTCGAAAGGATCCAATGTTTTCTTTAAATTACTTGACATATTTCTTTGTCATAGAATTCACTTTATACTCGCTATATTTTATCAAAATATGTAAATATCTATTTTGGCAATGCTAACATAATTAGATTAACGTTTGGTGAAAGCTATTGTGGTAAATTTTAAATAAAAAAGGAAATCGATATAAAAAATATAATTTAATTGTTTTAATTGTCTCAGTTTTCTTCCTACTTATCAAAATATTATTTAAACTTATATTAGGGTATTATAGTCTATATAGAAAATGATAATTAGAGTAATTTTATTTAAATAATTCACAATATCTCTTCATTATTATTCTCTAGGTATGTATGTACCGAGGGTAGTAACTACATATAAGAAACGCGTTAATTTTTTTTTAAACAAGGCGTTCAATTCACCACGCTTGCTAAAATGTGCAAATCAATAGGTACCTATAAAGATATATCTACCTGAATTTAATTTAATATCAATATTACATGAACTACGTCCAAGGCCTACCCATCGTAAGAGATCTCACTTTAGTCAAATACAATGAAACCAATGCTATTATTAACCATACAAAAGTGATAACAGATAAAGTTACGCCAAGAATGAACATGGAGGTTTGCAAACCACCTTCTCCATCAACTACGTAACTAATACCGAAGACGAATAGAACCAAAAGAGTAGAAGAAAGTGTTTCCAAAGTGCTGTGGAACTTTGGCCATTTGCGTGCTCCTACAAAGTCTTGTGCTGACGTCTCCCAACATGAGGTTATGGCACCATAACTTAATCCAGCCACAACGCATCCAATTGAGAAAGAGTCATGATTGCTCGCCACTGCCATTACTGAAAAAGAAGACAACATAATTTTGTAAGTTTCTAAGAGAAGTTGAAAAGTAGTTTAAGCTGAATGTAAAGACAGTAAATTAAGAAAAAGAAATATTGTAAACGAAAGGTATTTAGGTGAATATATGTGGCATTCTTACCAAAACATGCTGCAGTTCCAATTACTAAACCAACGGCGGACACATATTTGAAGTTGCGCTTAGGTGTTTGTGCTAACCATGGGGTGCACAGCAAAAAACATATCCATGTAAAACCATGGAGGGAGATCAAAAAATTTGTCTCTGTCATTGATATTACTGGCTTGATCTGCGTTGCAATCATTGGCAATAATACAAGGAATACTGCCGACAAAACAAGTTTAGAAAAACATATCATCAAAGCGGGGTAGAAACGCCAACATGACAAAGATCTAGTCACAGGTTTGATGAAAGTATCATTTATATTATACATAATATATAATAATCTTCGCTTTAATCTGTATACCCTGTAAGAAGGCATTCGTATTTTTCTTCTCATGCTCGCATAAGCTGACTGGCAACGGAATCCAAAAGAATTGAACACTTTTTCCCTTTCAACAGCTGTTACTGGAGAAATCGTTTCATAAGTCACTTCTATCTCAGAGTATTCTTTACCATCACAGCCCTCCGTTTGCAGCGAATCCCGTCTTACCTGCTTATTTATATACTCTTCAAAGTTATCCCCTATTGTACTCAGTCTCTTAATAGCTATACTAAATCTTCTTCTGTGTTTATCATTTTTTGTTTCTTCTCCACTATCTTCGTCACTTTCATCGGTTTCTTCACTTTCTTCAGGTATTTCAGGAAGTATCTCAACGCCGAATATGTTTCTCCTCTTCTCTTCGGGACTTGGCGGTGGGGTAATAGTAGTAGTATTTTCATCGTAATCTTCAAAACATTCATTGTCACCATCTTGTCGATGTAAACTATCGTCAGACGGGCTGTTCCAGCATTTTTTACTTAAGTCATGTAGCTGCATCTCATTGGAGTAAAAATTTGGGCCTCGGTTGTTAAATAATGCATAGGTTTTATCACTATATCTTGAAAAAGATACTGATCTTTTCATAGTTTCATCAACTTTTAAAAACATAATTGCTGGTAATGTTTGCAACATTATACCAGCAAGTATCATATGTGAATGTAAATATCCGAAATGTCCAATTATGGCGGTTAGTATGTGTGGGAATAATGACTGTCCTAAAGCTTGACCAGCAAAACATAGTCCCCGTACGATTCCCAGTTGGATATCATAAGTTTCGAAAATTACTGCATCTACTTGCGCGGATATTAGAGAAGAACCAAGGCCTGTAAGAAAAAAAATGCTTGTATGATCTTGTCAAATTAGACTAATGTTAAACCTGGTCTAAAACTGATGTTGTCACTTTTGTTAGCATTAGGTTTAAACCAGGGCTAACTTAAGTCCACGTTTTGGAATAAGGCGGAAAGTGTTGTTGGGGTATAGGTAGTATAGATATGTACGGGACTGATTTATAAATCTTTATATATATAATTCTTCTGTGAGTGTGTATGTCACTGAACCTCTCTTAAACGACTGTACCGATTTTGATGAAATTTTTTGTGTGTGTTCAAGGGGATCTGAGAATGGTTTAGATTCACAATTTTGTCCGCTGGACAAACCCTATTTTTTTAGGGCGGTACGAAGTTCGCTGGGTCAGCTAGTATATTATAATATCTTCAAACTAACCACATAGACTTCCATACACGATTGGGTGTATGAAGCGAGGTACGAAGACACAAATGAGAAGTCCAGATACGACTGACATCAAACCCAGCGCCGCCATCACCCGATATCCCATCGGTCCACCCCACGAATCCGCAGCGTCTTTGCACCAGCATTCTGTAAAAGTGGAATGATGCGAATTAATAGTACTTATATAGATTATATTATTGGGTGATGTTGATAAGAATTCAACCATTTTGGGAACATTCATTAGATAATAATTTAATTATATAAAAGGCAAGTTAGGGTTATATTTAGTATAATTGTTTTATTAGGGTTCCGTACCTAAAAAGGAAAAAACGGAACCCTTACAGGATCACTTTGTTGTCCGTCCGTCTGTCAAGACCGTTTTTCTCAGGAACACGTAGAGGTATCAAACTGAAATTCATATATAATACTCAGGAGTAGGTACCGTCCCTTGGAGCTGTGAAAAAATCAAACTTCTAAGCCAAAGCAATCAAAAGATACAGCCGTTTATGTCGCAAATTTTCGAAACTCGCACGGGAATCAAAACCTACAGGGTACTTCCCGTGAACTTAGAATCTTGAAATTTGGTACGAAGTAACGTCTTATAGTACAGATAAAGGAAAAATTGCGAAAACCGTAAATTCTTAGTTACAGCCTATAATATTTTTTTTTTAATAATTATTAAAATATACCTAGAGGTTTGTACGGAACCCTCGGTGCGCGAGTCCGACTCGCACTTGGCCGGTTTTTTGTAAACATGCAGCCTAATATTTCTTTGGATGGTAAGCAAACAGCGCTTATAAAGTACTGTAGGTGGTTCGGCACTTCCAATTCAATACTACTAATACAAGAAACTGGAATAAAACTTACGTGAAAGGCCGTAAGCAAGCACAAATATTGCAGGCGACGATAATCCGAGCCACACCGACTCTCCGAGTTGCGTCGAATGCACCAACAGCACTCCATAAGAGAGCACAAGACTAGGCAAGCAAATCTAAAAATAATACAATGTCTTTATTTTACATTAGGTGTAATGCAAAGATATTGATTAGGTGACTTAAAGTATATAAGTACATAGATATCCGATCTCCATATTTTGAATTAAGATCATAAATTGTTAATTTCTCATAGTATATAGAACGATGGCGCAGTGGTAAGAGTCGTCGCCGTCTGCAATCGAAAAAACCAAACCAACTTTTGAAATGACCGGTCATAGGATGGAAAACCAAAAATTTACTATCTCAAGCTCCCCCAGGGCTCAGAAGGCAGTGGGCAGAAAAGCCCCGATACACGGACCGTTCGAGCAGTTGATACGAACAGCTCGAGCAATTATCATTATCAATGACAGCTTCAAGCTGTTGACTCTAACTAGGTCATGGCGATGGCGTTTGAAAGCACGGTTTTGCAAATTGCAACATTGTACAAATTTTACTATCCTTGTACAATAATGAGGAAATATATTCGTGTGTAGAAGATAAAATCAAGATAGTTTTAGTAATTCCCTAAACAAGATTTCTCTGTACTGTACACAGTTTTACAGTTAAACTTATGCATTCCTTAACTTTTACTTAACTTAACTTTTTACTTTACTTAACTTATATATTTAACTACATTTAAACTCAGTTTTACAGTTAAAACTTATTATCACATTGGCGAATGCTACACGCTCGATATGTATCGCGATATTTAACGTGATATTTATCTAGTAATATTTTCTTATACTACACACACACACACAGTACACTCGTAAGTTTTGGTATTACAATATAAATAAAGCTATGAGTGATAATATGTATAAAATACCCAAGACTTTGGATTGTACATAGGGTTAACAACTTTTTTTCTATCAAATATAGTATTTTCGAAGCTGTTACCTCTAAAATATAGTAGAAGGCAAAAAAATGGAAAAACATTTATTATATGATTAAAATATTTACTTTATTTTTAAAATGAGTATATTTTTTGCTGCTCTATACCTTAATAATACAGTTTTTATTTTTAAGAAAGCTTTTATTGGCAAAAACCTGCTTTAAGCAAAATATAGTAGTTTCGCCTACTTTATATTTTTTTTGGAAAATAGTATTTGATCCCCTAATATAGTAGGATACTATGTTATATAGTAGAGTTGGCAACCCTAATTGTACACATTTAGGGTACGGCCAGAGTGCACTCAGATTCAGATTCAGACTCAGAAAACAAGCGCGAGAAATATACAGTGTAGTCTAAGCAGGTTGCCTGCTGCCACTATGGCCACCCTGCTTTAACTACACTGTTTATTTCTCGCGCTTGTTTTCTGAGTCTGAATCTGAATCTGAGTGCACTCTGGCCGTACCCTTACCGTAGAAGCACCAGATCGCTTCGAATCGGTTATTTTTTTAATTCTTTCCTATTTAATTCGATTTTAATGAGTTTATCTTCGGAATGCCATCTTTGGTAGTCGCGCGAGGTTTAATTCTTTTTTAATTTCAAATAGTTTATCATAGGCATTCGCCCTTTTCACTTTATTTACAGTGTCGGCACTTGAGTTGTCCCATACCTCTGGTAGTGTTTTAACACTAGTATGAATTCTTTTAAGTGCTTTTGGTTCTTTGTATGTGATACGGCGGGCGCCGCCGGCGCCGCCTCAATATGCGCGTCCTCTTCCATCGCTGACAACGCAATAAATATCGATTAGAGACTAGACGCTCGATATTTATCATCGATACTTGATACAAATCGTGGATTTTTGGATTTCTAGAAATCCAGCGATCCGTACCACGATATGTGATATTCTATACTACAGACTCGATAAATATCGTGATCCTGGATTACGATCCAAATATCACGATAAATATCGAGCGTGTAGCATTCGCCATTAACTTTGCCTAAGTAAATAACGTATTTTCGGAAACTACCGTCGAAAACAATCTTGTTGTATGTTCTAATAAGCCGTAGGTAGTTTGTGACGCGACGAGGTACCTACTTAGAAATGATATCTCAATGTTGTTGTCATTAAATAATATTATCTTTTGTGATTTTGCATCTATCAGGTATTTTACGTGTTTTATGTACGAAATCTAGTATCTAGATATTACATCCACTGGTTCGCGTTTCAGTCACGCGGTTATATCGACCGCGTGACTAAAAGAAATCTACATATTTCAAGATTGAGCGGCGAGTGAAGTTTGGTAAGGCAAACTACCACTCTCAACCCGACGCTGCTGGAATGGCTGAGGGATACTGCCAAGAGTGAGAGAGGAGCATTTACAAAGAAATAGCGAACGAGACAGGGGTTTTATGTTGAGTTGAGAGAGAAAAAATCCTGGTGGTACAACAGCAGGAGTGGTGCTTAAGGCGAGAAAGTATGCGATCCGTCCCAGGCGGTTCTTCTGGGGGACAGCAAATTTTACTATTTTAAGAGAATATCTAGTACACACAAAAGAAGGTGCTAAATAAAACTAAAAATAAAAGGCGATAATTTGTTCAAATTAGTATAAAATAATTAGGATGCAAGGTTAAAAGATAAAGTGTGACTAACTACGAAACCCGTGTTCACTATTATTGTTAGTCAATCACTAAGCTAGTGGCCTGGCTCTTAGCACCCACCTGAGCTCCATGTAAATTGTAATGTGGCGTTAGCCTTGCGCTTTGTTTCCTATCACAATATGACGTAATCTAATCGTGACAGATGAAGCGTTTCAGTCTAAGAAAAATACGAGAAACTCTATTCCAATAGAGCTGACCCTGTACTCAAATAAACAAGTACTTATTAGGTAGGTTCTAGGTCCTTTACTGAAACTAATAATTTAAATTAAATAATAATTAAATTGATACTGACATTCAAGAACAAAACCGCCAAGAGGAGTGGCCAATTCCACGATCCACCCTGTTCTCTGACGTTATTTTCCATCTTATGGTAACTGCCTGCATTTTCCAAACTTTATCAACATTTTTTTAACATTCACTACGATTACAAATTTAATTTTTTCCACTGTTCACTAGATACACATAACTCAAACACTTTCACCGTAGAAAATTCTTTCACTTTATTTACTTTATACGCTTATAGACAGAGAGCATGTTATTATCGTCGTATATTGACAGGTCGCTTACTTACATCGGTCGTGTTATCAGGTCCCAGCACGTACTCTAGTTACTTAGCCTTATCATTACAGATAGTGAAAAAAGTCAATACTGAATTCAAGGAAGTATAAATTAATGCTAAAAAAATAATTTCACAAGCAATAATCTTCTTAATCGATTTCTTAATAAGTAATAATAAGTATCCTAACAAATTACATTTGTTTTCCTTTAACAAGTCACAGGTCTTGATGCATTGCTCTAAGCACCAGGTCTAGAATAGAATACTCTTTATTTGCATTAAATAGGGTTGGCAAAAGGTGTTTGCATATAAAGCATAATGTTAAAAGCTAAGAATCTTAAACCTATTTAGCCATATTAATTATCTATTGAGACAGTACAAATAACATTATGGATGTTACGATCATTCGGCGCGCCAACATCTTTGAGAAAGTTGGACAACAACGAAATTCGTAACTGAGATATCGAATTCATTTAGCAATAAAAAATAAAAAGTCGAATAGTGTGGTGCTTCATGTCTGAAAGCAGTTTGAACACGAGCTACACTTTCGAGGCCGAGGAGTTTATTCAAGTGGTCAAACTAAGCACTCTTTATACAAATTAATTACTTAAATTGTTTCTTAGATTTCACGCATATCACTCATTAAATAAAACTAGTTTTAACGGTTTAATGCATGAAACTTTATTTCGTCAGTATTCTGACTATGCAGACCTGAAAAGGCTGCGAAACGTCAATAAATACATAAAGTTTCGTGCATTAACCCGTTATAACTAGTTTTATTTAATTACTTAATGTAAATACTAGTCTAAAGAAGACTTCACTAGAAAAATCTCCACTTGGTCCAGGCATCAGACAGGATTTGAACCTGTACCTGCCGGACACAACCAATACCCAATTACCTGCTTCCAAGACCGCAAATCGTAAGTGGCCCGAAGTTCGCCAGATTTGTAAATACGCACGCGTGATTGTTGCCCAAGACAATTTCGTGCGAGAAAAACTGTGATATGACAATTTTTAATGTTTAATCATTGTTTAATGACAAAATAATTTATTTATTTGAGTAACAAGAATTAAAAATCTTCCATATAAAACTTCTTACTATCTGTCTATTCTATCTATCTATTCTTACTATGTGTCTATTCTGGCATGATTTTCTAATCTTAAAACTGTATTTTGATTGTTGTGTTGTTGTTCATGGTTTCCTTGGAAACCGTAGAGCTGAAAATTATCACGAGCTGATCACTGACATAATGATCATAAATTTTGCCATCATTGGATGTAGGATGTCTCTAAAGATGCATATGTTACATTCTCATTTAGATAAATTTAAAGATAATATGGAAGCTTATTCGGAAGAACAAGGGGAACGCTTCCAACAAAATATAATAGAATTTGAGAGACTTTACCAAGGCGAGTATACTGAAAGCATGATAGGGGACTATATATGGGGGTTACTAAAGGAAACTCTAACATGACAGATACATACTGTAAGATAATTACTATTTACGATACACCGACCCAAGCGCATAATATAGTTTTAAGTACTTAAAGGATAAAATCTCAAAAACTTTGAATATGCGTAGGGAGATTTTATTAAGAATTTTCGGCATATTCAACGACGAATATCTTTTGTCTCCCGCAAGCTACTAAGTTTCTCCCATACAATAAATTAATAAACTTTTGAAGACCTTTCTAATAGTACCAATTTCAATGTGCTACATGGTGGGTACGTTTTGCGCCATGTTCTTTAAATTAAAAATATCAATTTAAAATAAACAAGTATCAAGAAATTGATTCAAACTCACTTGTTGTCATTAAATTCTCTTCATAACTTTGTACTTTTTGCATGAGAACAGGCTCCATTTTTTACCCGACTTCGCAATGCAAGAGCGCGAAGCGCTACGCGCAGACAGGGTTATGTGTTTAACAGTCTATATATGTATGTTTGTTCCTTTGTGGCACACTAGAGACCAAACGCCTGGACCGATTTTGATGATTCATACATAGATCGATTCGTCTCAATCACGGGAGTGCTACTAAAGATATGATAGTAATCAAAATTCAATATGGGCAAAAATAGGCGCCATATTGTGACGAAGTAAAAAAAAATAAGTTGACAAAATATATCAAGGAACCTAAACATGATTTTCGATTATTTAGACAATGATACCCCATTGTCTAAATAATCGAAAATCATGTTTAGGTTCCTAACACCATTTTTCATTTTATATGATTGTTTAGGATCTACAACGCTTTAAAGTTGTATATTAACCACTTGCGCTTTTAATTTCAATTTTACGTTTGTATGGATTTTTGTTACTCTTTCACCTATAAATACTGAATGGATTTTAATGAAACTTAACAATAATGTAGCTCATATATGATAATAACATATATATAATAATTTATGTAGTTATTGAGTGAATTGGCCAAAATATAACAATAAGTGTCACATAAGACGGAAAAAAATCTCCCATCTGCGAGCCATTTTTGCCTGCACTGGAAAAACAATAAAAGTTACATGAATGTAATTTAAAGTGAAAATGTATCTCATAAATAGTTCTAAAAAAATTCCGTGACACCATAAATCTATTTTTAATGTATAAGCCATTACCACTAAAATAGTGAATCAAAACTAAAATATTATTTGATATCTATTTCCAAAATGCACATTTTGTATTAACAAAATATTTTTTATTAAAACAAATACTTTTATCGCTTTTGATATTTAAAGACGATAAACTTTGCCTTTTACACTATGTCATTTCGACAAATATTTAAAAAGTTGACAAACGATGACAAAGTGATAGCGCGGTGTACTATGTAGGAGTAGACTGCGGCAATACTAAGAAAAGAAATTTATTTAGGTGTCTATAAACGTGGATAAAACCTAGGCGAAAAAGAAAAAAATGGGCTACTCGCAGTATCTGATCCTATACGAAGTACTTACAATAAAACTGTGATATAGTTCCTTCTTATTAAATGATGAAAAATAAATTATCATAATAGGTATTAATGATTATTGAATTTTAATGAAAAACTCAGGATTATACTGTTTTTTTTAACGATATTACTAAATGTTACAAAAAAGGTTTACTTAATATAATGACAAATAACCCATTTTTCGTATGTATTTAATGTATTTATTAATCAGCTCGCGATAATATTGGTTTTGTAATTATAAACGAAAATTCTGCAAATATCAAAGTAAATAATACAGATTTTTATAGGTAATTACCCCTTTCATCACCCTACGCCTATAAGTATTGCGATGTTGTAGCTAAGAACTAAGTTCCCATCTACACACATCAAAAGTGTCTAGGGATCAACATATATTTTTGCAATAACTTTTCTCCTGATTGATATTAATTAAAATTTTCTTTAAGGATTCATCAAATAAAGTGTTTTCGTTTGTCACAGTAACGATAAACCAAGTCACCTTTGCATTAATAAAGAAATTTGCCATTTTCCTAATAAAGGGATTTTTGACATTTGAACCACTAACACAAAAGTTCGAAAAAAAGACTGAAATAACAGTTTTCTCTAAAATTTTATTGGGTAACTTAAACAATTAATAATCCGTATTTCTACCGCGAACACTAACAACACAAGAACATCGGTTTGGCATACTCAAAATGAGTTCATCCAAATCACGCTGTGGAATGGCCGCCCATGTTCGTTGCAACAACAAAAAAAGGTCTTCTTGCGACTGGATACCCTCCATATTCGGCAGAGCTCTTCTCTGTAGCATATCCCATGCATGCTCAATCGGGTTCAAGTCTGGCGACTGAGCAGGCCAGGGCAGGACATTGATGTTAGCTGCGGCGAGAGTCTGTCTTACAACTCTTGCGGTGTGCGGTCGTGCATTATCATGCATTAACTGAAATAAGGGACCGATTTGCACTTGTAGAGGAACGATGACGTCTGATACAATCGTCTCAGCATAAATTTGAGCGTTGAGGTTGCCTCTGATCCAAATCAACTCAGTTCTTCCGCCGATCCAAATACCCGCCCATACCATGATGGTTCCACCACTATAAGGATGGACTTCCTGGCAGGATTTTAATCGCTGTTGGCGTCCAGGGGTTCTCCAGTGTCGTATACGTCTTGTATCCGGTCTCATACCAAAACGAGACTCATCAGAAAAGCACACGAAACGCCATTGTTCTTCTGCCCAATTTCTGTGTTCAAGAGCCCATTGATATCGAATCCTACGATTGTGCATTGCTATAGGTGGTACCCGTAGCGGTCTTCGGGAATGAAGGTTCACTTCATGCAAGCGGTTTCTGACTGTTTGATCGCTAATTAAGTTCCCTGAAGAGTGATGAAGCCTCACGGCTAACATCATGGCGGTTATTGTTGGAGCTCTTCGAGTTAAGATTTGAATGTATCGGTCTTGTCTCCGTGTGGTGCAGCGATACCGTCCTCCATGGCGCTCAGCCACGGTACCAGTGCTTCGGTATCGTGTCCAAAGTCGACTGATAACACTCTGACTTGTATTCAGAGCTAAAGCCACAGTACGTTGCCGGGAACCAGCTTCTATCATTCCCACGGCTCTGAGCATTTCTTCCCTGCTTAAATGACGTCGCCGCTCCATAATAACGTTGGTTTTAATCAGTAGTAGGGAAACAGTAGCACTAATAATGTCTTCAATGCGTTGTATGTTTTTATAGGGAAAATATTGACAGCTGATTTTCATCTTTTACTCGAATTTGATTCACAGTTCCTGATTCAAATTATGAAATGCACCAAAAAGGATCCATATAAATTTATGACATAAATTTATTACAAAGCCACATCTCAATCTCAAGAAATCCGCATAAAAATGCTTGATCCCTAGACACTTTTGATGTGTGTATTTCTATAGAGGAATTCATTCTAAACGATTTGTCTATTAAGGCACGGAAGCGCAACAAACAAACTCTTTCGCATCTATAATATTATATTATACTTACTAGTGATCCACCCGGAAATTGCACGGGCGAAATTTATTTTTTCGGGATAAAATATAGTCTATGTCACTCGGACAAAATGTATTTAAATAAAGAAAAATATAATAATAAATAATATAGCTACCTTATGATGAATTAATATTTGAAACCGGTTCAGTAGTTTGACAGATTATTTGTTACAAACATACAAATCTTGCCTCTTTATAATATTAGTATAGATAGTTAGGATAATAGTATTTAATTGATGAAAAAGAATTAAAAATAAAGCAAGTAATAGGTTTATTTGATTATATTTGTAAAAGTTACTTAGCATTTGTGCTTAACAGTGATACGTTATTCAGTATTTATTTATATAAAAAGAAATATTTGGAAAATAATTGCCATGATTGCATTATTTGCAATACCTACTAGGCTGGTAGCAGCTAGGGTTACCATATCTCAGGATTTGTCCTGAGATTTCAGGATTTTTGGACTCTTCTCAGGATTGCGGCTGGATTTTGCAAATCTCATGAAATCTCAGGATTTTTTGAATTTCCAATAAAATACTGCTTACGTTTTAAAGATCTCTTTAGTAAAAAGTTAAACAAACTAAAAATAAGCTTCTATTGGTAATAATTGCACAATTAAAATCAGTACTTTTTTATCCAAGTTAATCTTAACTTAATCAGTTTTATTATACTTAATATGTGAAGATACATTTTTAAGTAAGGTGTTTTCTTTAATTATGGATTCATATAATGTCCCATATGTTAAGCTCTTCAAATTATATTGATTTAAAAGTATCAGCAGAGTATAAACGATAATATTACGACTTTTTTGAATTGTTAAGTACGTTTGAGAGAAAATTCTCAAACTGTAAAAAATCTCAGGATTTTTCAAGAAAAAGCAAGCCTTTTCTCCGGACTTCTGATTTTATGATCTAGTAACCCTAGTAGCAGCACGCTTGATAGGTGGAAGTACTCTTCATTCGAGCTTTACACTACCAATAAAAAAGGGTCGATCACAAAGTCTATGACCTATTATTATGTGAACGCTTTAAAAGAAAACTACAAAGATAACTATAAATTGATAATAAATGAGATTGCTATGGTGCTGTACCTAACGTTATGAAAATTTTATTATGCGCCTTTAGTTTAATTAAATATTATAAACTTTGCTTTGGTGATTGCATAATTATTTAATCCAGCGATTTAAGGCAGTTGCCACCATTGTTCAAAACAACAGACGGGAAGTACTGCTTTCTTCAACCTGCGACATAAACGTCATTGATTGGTATTGTATATAGGCTGATTAACAACATTTGAAGTTAGCTTCTGGCATCTACATATTGGGTTTCTGTGAATTATGTAGGTATATCAAATTATGAGACTAGGATATGACACTGCATTTGTGTATATCACAATCTTAGAGCCGGACGTTGACATGACAAAGTAGCCACTGGTGTCAATTCTGGCATGATTCTCTAAATCTAAACTTATATTTGACAACAGTGCATCCTTGCCATTCTCTATACAGAATGAAAAGGAGAGACTGATGTTAAATTTAGTTTTAAGTTTAGAGAATCACTCTAGAATCGACACCACTGCCAATTTTAAATAGTCGACGAATAAAAGTAAATGAATTTTATATTAACTGCTAAACTACTAAAAAGAACATAAACAAAAGATGACTTTTTGAATAAGTGCTAGTTTACTATAAAATTAACATACATTAGATATTTATCTAACGACTTGATTTAACTTCACACATTTTTACGAAAATTGAGGCCCATCTGTAGCCTTGACCCCGCAGGTCTTAATAAATCAATCTTTTAGACCACCGCAAGGTACTTAATAGTTCCCGCGATATTAATTCCCTTACTGAAGTAACAAGACTACGGTATATACCGTCTTAAAATACTAACTAACTAAAAGTGTGAAATAAAAAAGGTAAATTTAAAATATCAAAAACTCGACTGCTTTATTATACTTCAAATAAAAACTGAAAAGAAAAAAACAAGTCCAGTAGTCTATAATTCTGTTAATAAGGAACAAAGCTACTTTAACAGTCGGGACCCATTATTAAAATATTATGTCGTACTGAACTTTTGATAGTTTTGCCCATCGTAAGTGCACAGTATTAAACTTTTTTTTTATTCAAACGACAGATTCTTGAATGACCACGACTTTACATTTCTGAATGACGTCCTTAAAGGGCTGTCACCCTAAGTTTTTCTGGTGTGACCACATTATTTATTTTGCAAATTTATCGTGGTCCAACTTGTAGACCGGATTTTTCATCACGATAGTATCCTGAGACTTGAGAATGGAATAAATTAAAAAAACAGCTGTCAGTCAATCTGTCATTTTAGGCATGTTTTTGTAGTAATAGAGATGGGTCAGATTAGATAAAAACGATACCTATTCCACCTAATCCCAATATTTAAAAATACCTATTCCAAATATTAATGCAGTACCGTCGATCCATGGGTGATCATACGACGGTACGATGTTATGTATATTTAATTATTACTTTTTTAATTATCAAGTTATAATAGAACACCAAATATATATAAATAAATGCATATCAATTTTATATTAATGATAAAAAATAATTAAATGTAAATATTTCTGTAATGTTATTTATATTTAATCAGGACAAATAATGAAATAATACACAAAAATAATTATCACTTGTATTACCTACTTAAATGAATGATGCTGCTAAAGGATATAGATATAATATAGAAAAAAATAGATATTCTTTAGAGTTATGTAAACTGTTTTGATGTTTGTAATTGTAAATGTTTGTTTGAAAATAAGAAAATTTTTGCAATGCCCTTGCAGGGCTCATGTTGTGAATCTTTATTTTAAATTTAAGTACCCATGTATATGTACTAACATGAAGCAATAAAGATTATGATTAATGTGGATTTGGTGTGAATTGCATTGGATATCTATTATGAAAATAACATGTACCTACTCCTTGTTTTTTCTATACTAGGTAAATAAAATATAAATGTAATGTTTGAATACTGTGCATTTTTTTTCTCTTTGGTATGTATGTATTGTTCTTTGCGATCCTCGTACTATTATTTACTATATTTTTTTCTTTTTATGCAAAGAGAGATTGAAATAGCACAAAAACAGACATATTAAATAATATTTCATATAAGTAAATTATTTATTTTATCTTCGTTTAACAGTTTCGCATTGTAATTTAATTACTTTAAAAAAAATGTGAGGCAGTAAGTTTTTTTGACTTTGTTTTGTATAAAAAATTATAAAATATACCTGGTGTTGTACAAATTCATCGCGTTTTACATAATATTTAATCTAGATGGCGTTAGTGGTGATAATACGTACTCGTAATCGTACCTAATCCAATCAAACCAAAACCAACTAACTGTTCCAAATTATGCAGTATAACAGGTAACGGATAACATGGGTTACCCATTATTTTACTATGTAAATAAAATAAATCTTAAAATACCATTAATCTTGTATATAACATATATTTTTTAACCGTCTCCAAAAAAAGTAGTTTCTCAATGTGACCCCTATGTTTTTCCACGATTAAATCGCGCGTTTACTTAAAACGATTTTAGTGCGGTTTTCTTAAAAGTATTTGTAGCATTCTGAAGTTGGTTTGGTGTACAACAAATGGATCCCACGTGACGTGTCCGCATGGCTCCGTTATTAGACTACATATTAGTTCAACTCTACCGATTTTGTTGATGTCTCTTTATTGTAATTATAGGAAATGCTTATTTAAAATTGGACCTGGCGCTGCAGCCAGGATCGTCTCTGTATAAAGGAATAATAAAAATAATTTAAGATTCGTGTCCTCGGACTGTTATTATTATGTTAAAGCAGGAAAACCTTTAATTGGCCTTGTTATTAGCCTATTAAGACGTGTTTACTATAGTTTTAAATTGCAACGCTGCACTGTTGGCTTTCAAATAAATAAATAAATCGTTGAACAACGCCGCCTATCAAGCGTAGAGATGTACTTACTCATCACATTTTACCGATGATCAAACAAGTAATGATCAAATAGTATCCTAGATGGCGTCTGTTACAACTTTTCCTTTGCCATTTAATATTTGAAGTCTCGGATAAGGTATCGCTCTAGTATCGAAAAATATCTATTCCAAATACCTAATCCCATATTTATGTCTCACCACTATCAATTAGTCCTCTTTTGCTATTTTTACCCGTGGATGCGGTTTTTTTAATTAGAAATGTGTGCAATTTTAAATAAGGTGGTATGGGCAGCGAAAATATATTAAAAGAATATTCAGATTCTATTAAATCATTAAGGAGAGAATGCCTGGATGGTGGTTTAGAGGAAGAAGCATTTCGTGAATTTTATTTTGAATCTCTAAAATCACTTGATTCCTATCAGCAACTAAGAAATGAAAATCGACCCATGTTAACAACAAAGTTAAAATATTTAGTGATAGGCATGCTTGTCTTGGGAATTTGTATTTATAATTTCACAGCTGTGTATGCCTGTATTGTATGTAACTTACAAGATTACATTTATCCCGGCTTACGTCTGTTGAGAAAATTATCTATTCCATTCATCTCATTATTCCCTTCTTTATCAGGTATTCCTAAGATTTTTGTCGTGTATTTTTAAATCTGATGACTATATTGTTTGATGCCTGAATAAATCTAAACAAGTTTTTTTTTGTTTTAGAATATTATCATGAAACATGCTTGATACAAAACCCATTCTTTACTGTAGCAGATATGGACTGCTGGCCATGTAGCACAGCCAGTAACGTTAGAGAAATTTACAATCCTTCAGAATCTGTTAACATGCAACAGAATACACCTTTTATATACGCAGTAAGTTTTAATTTTTATTATTTTTAAAGCATGTAACTGCTTGATGTTTAAATCTAAAGACGCAGTAAGTTTGTTACTATGTTTATATTTTCAATCTCAACAATGCCATGTTTGGTATTTTATGTCAGTCTCACCTAATGTCTTTAGTAGTTTCTGTTATTTCTGACAAATGGTAGCTGATTTTTTTATTAAAGCAATAAATACATAGTTTTTTAATTTCAGACAGATCAACAAATAATAGACATGACATTTCTTAAAGATATCTATTTTAAAAATAAACATGTGTTTGATAAAGAGGCTACAAAAATATTAGTTGACAACAGTAAACATTATACTACTTCTAATGAAATGTTTACACAAGGGCAGCTTGGGGAGGCATTGTATATATGGTATGTAGATTATGATTTTCTCATTTTGTTAATTGATTTGGAAAACTATGACTAAGGTATTAGAATGCATACTAATACTACCGCTTTTCAAATATTGGGTAAATGAGCAGCTTTCTCTTAACTTTGAAAACCCAGTGTCGAAAACACCATAAAATAATCCCACAGACATAGAAATTGTAAGCTTTACCTTTTGCAGGAAAATAAACAGTATGCCACTTGCAAGACTTCTAAGACAATACATTCCTAGACCTAAAATTGTTCCCAAATTTGGACAAAGTACTGAAAGATTCATATTAATTGACTCAAGTCGAAATAAATTTAAAGTACCTGATACAGAATGCACTTTTTCATTTCTCCTATCTCTAAGTGGTAACAGAAATATTGATTTAGAACCTGCTGAAGAATGTAAACATCAATGTAAATCATTGAAAGTGGAACTAAGAGAATCATATTTATGTAGGTATTAGTTTTATGTTGAAGATTTTTGAATTGACAAATTCAATATGTGGTTAATTATTATTTTCTTGTTTCCAGTATGGTACAACTGGTGGTATTGGAGACCAGTTGTCCAATCAACTTCTAGCAATGTAACATTTATAGCTCACCTTGGATCCTATTGCTGATAGTAAAATAAAGAATCTGTTGGAATGTACAAAACACCAATTTATTAACATAAATTAACAAAAATTAAATAAAATTTGCTACAAATATTCTACATCTTTCAATTAATCAAACTTTTCTCTTAGTTTTTCTTTTAATAAGACTGGTACCAATGATACCAATGCAAAAACACTAAGGAATGTGACTGAGGTCCATGACCAAGCATCACTAGTAGAGGTCAGTGTATGGAGGGTCTGGCCTGCTTGTATTGCTACAAAAGATGGTGGCGCCACACCTTGAACAATAAAAAAATACATATCAAATACTACTTAATCGTAATTTCAAGAATAGAACAAAGCAAGTAGATAAAAACAGGCAACTGTTAACAGAAACAATTCCCTACCAAGTTCTTGCAACAAAACCAATTAACTATTTACAGTGTAACAATATCTTATTGATAATTATTTTAGGATGCTTACCTATAAATGTCCCTAATGCAAATGGCACAAGAGGTACTCCGATTACAGGAGCTGTCATGTTAATAAACCAGTTTGGCAGAAAGGGGGTTACCCTTAAAAATATTATATAGTTGAGCAGATTGTTCTTGTGCTTTGTGACTGCTCTAGACCATTGTGCTGCTTTCTCAGGAAAAAATATCTTCACAAGTCTCTTTCCTAGTAAGTTAGATAGAAAGAAACATAAGCTCGCACCAATAGCCGAACAGCAGCAAACTAGAAGTAGTGCTAAGTAAAATGGAAACAAAAATCCTGAAAGAATACTGAGAAAAATAGATCCTGGTATTGCAAAAGTTTGCAAACTGAAGTGTCAAATGAAGGATATTATTTTTTTCATGAACTGAATAACTAACATTATTATTATTTCACAGTGTTATTATTTCTTAATGAGCTGTAAAAATCTTATTTCTTAATGAGCTGTAAAAATCATATCATTCAACTTATTTGAAAAGGATACAAAATGTAAACTAAGAAAACTCCAAATAATACTTCATAAAAATATTTATCTTTATAGCGATCTAAAACCAGTCCCAGTTGTTTAGCATCATCCAAATCCCATGGTAACTTTAAATGCTTTCTCTCGTGGCTAGAATAACACACATTGTATGATTATTTAAATTATTAATAAAAGCACCCCAATTTTTTTTATTATCAGATGCTTACTCTTCTAATTCAGGAAATTGTTTGTATACCAGACCCAAAGCTAGCAAAGAGCATACAAATATTATCAAGACTAAAATAAGTGCCTTGGATGTAGACAAGTTATTGCCAGAAGAGGTAACATCAGTCTGTAAATCTGCAAACAAAAACATGTTAAAGGTGTGCCACACACAACAAAGTATATTATAGAAATTAATTTAAGAACAGTTATTTAGGAATAACAATGGGGAAAAGGAAAGGATAGGTACTTGAAAAAGGATGGTGATTAAACAGTCCATTGGGATGATATCTTATGTTGATAATCCTTGGTTGTATATTTGTTTGGTAAGGAATATCAACAGTAGAGGAAACAATGGGTTCTTGAACTTCACCTTGATCCTCTTGCACAGAACGAGCAACTCTTCTCCGGTTTGTGCTCATATTTGTGACCTATAAGGGATAAATGTTTAAAAAAATTAAAACTACTGAATTTGCAATGAGTAGGCGATATTTTGGTAAAATATCGCCTACTCATAAACTGCTACAAATACAAATTAAGGTTTTATTTGATAATTTATATTTTACACCATCAATGTAAATCACAGGAAAGTGTAGGAAACTAATTTTTTATTCAGAGTTCTTACCTCAGCACTGTATAGGTTGCCGTCATTTTCTGGCAAAGCAATTTGTCAATGTCAATGAGGGATGCCCACTCTGAATCGATTCTTTGGATCAACTATAATTAATCGTATGAAAAATTGATTGACATGACATGAAGTAACCGATCGAAACCAGAATTTTAGCCGAAGTATTAAAAATGTCTTTGCAAATCACTTTTATCACAATGTTACCATGAACTTAAAAATTTAATCGATAAGTTTAAATATTGGTATGGTTTTCTGTAAAGTCGGTTTATGGACGATAATTTTGCGAGACAGCGTGTTATTTACTGTTTTTGTCGGGGCAGTTTTGTGTGACCTTCTGTTTAGATTCGTTTGAGTTCAAGCACGCCTCTGTAGCTCTATGGGGACCGAGTTACGCTCCGCGGGGGTGAGGTACACTTTGGCGGGAGGTGTTCAGGGGGAGGAGGATAGAAGAAACAACTCACACACCGCGGAACGTTCAACTAACTCGTGACTAGCTTGCTACATATATAGTGATCTGTGCTCGTGACATGACGTTTTTTCGTGCGTGCAGCCGGTGTTCATCGATTTATAAGACGTTAACACGTCAATAACAAAAAAGCAATGGCTGCATTGGATCCAAATAAACGGGAAAAAGCAAAAAAATATGTATCTTTTATTATTGCATGGGGTCCTTTTTTCACTAAATTGAAAACTAAATAAGACAGCAGACAGACATAATGATGTCGGTTCTGGCATGATTCTCTAAAGCTAAACTTAAATTTGACAACAGTACATCTTTGTCGTTCTATATTCAGAATGAAAAGGAGAGACTGATGTTAAATTTAGTTTTAAGTTTAGAGAATCACGTCAGAATCTTCACCAGTATGACTTATATGTCTATGAACCATTATAGTCCGGGAGCCGGTAACACTGAAAATCCCGTCATAGCGGAATCAAAAAAAAATTTAAATATTAAACAAATAGAACATAAGTATAGGAATAAATTAAGCTCGGTATGCGTGAATTTCTATAGCCGAAACAATGTTAAAAAAAAAGAAAAAATTAAAAAATGTTTTACCGTCATCGCGGATATTAATTTTTTTTAATGTATTCGACAGCTACAAAGCACAAATTTCCTCATGTGAGGAACGTATTGAAGACCGTTGTGATTGTGATGACAACAAAATTCCTGCCAGGAGTTCACCGCTCTGACAACTTGCTCTCATTTCATTATGTTTTAAATATATTGATATAATAATTTAATACATATAAATCTGATTGTAAGCTTATCTCGTTGCTAAAACTTAAGAAAGAAATTAAACCAAGAAAGATGTTTGCCTCTACATCTCATGAATTTTCTTTGTTAAACATATACCGTTTGCGTATTCATTAACAATAAAATTTATTATTAATGAATGTAATAATGCGAATGGAGGTGTTGTATTGCGTTTACTCTAAAAAATCATGTGAAGTTACTGAGGGAACGTTATTTAATAACATCCTTAGTTCGGCCCCGACATGTGTGTGTCCTCGTGTTTACAAGTAACTTGATTTTAGTTTCGTTACTCGCCGTGTTGGCGCTGTTGGCATGCTGCACCTCCCCTCGCTATCTCTGTCAGTGGCTTCACTTGATCTCTTTAGTTTAGTTATTAGTGTAAACGCGATACAACACCTCTTTGTTTTTGCTCCATGGGGCCCACTAACTGATTCGATTTTCTTTATTTATAGTCACTCAACAGAGTAAATTTTTTTGTACGCAGTCTTACAAATTACCTTTAAAATCTTACCATTCATCAAAATTATTTAAATTGATCAGATACAGTAATATGAAAATTGAGGCGTTTCGTCTAAGAGTCCACATTCAGTGAGTCGTAGCGTTCGACTTACAACAGCTACTTTATCCTCCTAACATTTTTTTTTTCAAATATCCTGCAAAATTTTTATGTAAACGAAATCTACGTTTTTGTAGTCTACCACTGTGGCCCCTCGTAGGGGACGCACATATGAAACCTAAAGTAGTACAGAGACTGAGTTGATTTAACTTGTAAAAAAATGTATTATTAACTGTATATTTTTCCTGGTTCAAAGTCCGTTAAATAAATCACTGCGCTTGTACAAATGCGTCCATATTATAGTAAAACTATTGTTATATTATATTATGTATATAAATAACACGGAAGTCCACATGACATGGTTTCTGCGTTGCTCCCCCTTAGGGCATGATGTAGCCTTAGAGGCCTTCCCAGCCAGAAACAGACCCTGATATAACCTTACACCAGCTGTAGGGTATCCATGAGGATTTCTCACCCGCTCCCCTGCCGGGGAGGAAACAAAAAATAAAACATATTGCTTGAAATTGTTCGTCCACACTTGTATGATAATGTATTATAACATTCTTCTTATATAGTCTGTACTCATCGTAGAATGCTTTTTATTATTTTTGTGTAATTTCGATGTAATTTTCCAGGTTCGCATGAAATCGATCAATTCCGGTCCAAAATATCGATTAATGCAGAAGTTCGACATCCCTAAAGTGATTTGGTTTTAATACGGTTTCTTTATAGGAAGGCAAAGTATACTAAGTCCAGCATCATTAGGCCTAGTTTTTTTTTACTTTGGAATGCCGATTGCACCCGCTACAGCGCATAATAGTAATGGTTTCAAACTATTTTCTAACGAAGTACATTGAACCAGCTTTTTTGATATGTTTCGGAGCGTTTAGCAGCACTCATCATCAGCCTATTAATGTCTCCACTACTGGGGCACAGGTGTTCCCTATGGATAGAATAGGGAGATTGGGCCGTGACCCACCACGCGAGCCCAGTGCGGATTGGTGGGTGCTAACGACTGCAGATGCAGCCGGGACCAACGGCTTAACGGCCTTCCGAAGCACGGAGGACCTCGTGATGATAAATTTATTAATAACTAGCAAACCCAGCGAACTCCGTTTCGCCACCAGATAGCTTCGTTTTATGTAACATTTCGTTTTGTGATTAAAAGAAAACGATTTTTTTTTAATTTTTCCTGAATTTTCTTTGCTATAAACCTCACGGAGCCCGAGACCTTTCCAACGAATGCAAAACCGTGGAAATCGATTCGTGCGTTCTGGAGTTATAGCGTCAGGAAGGAAAACCCGACTTATTTTTATATAGTAGATAATTTATTAATTCCACTTGAATAAAATAAAGTTTGCAACACAAATCACACCACTTTTATATCATCATATCTTCATGAAATCAAAACTCGTATTATAGTACAGTCCTTTGGTGAGAAATATAGTGGTTACCTGGAAAGTTTTCCGGGAGTTTTCAAAATTGGTAATATTATAAATTTTGAGATGCTCTTTCCGAATTTCTACTTTGCCACCTCGTATTATTGCCGCTCGCGCCGCCATATTGGAAAAATTGCGCCTAAAAGCAGTTTTTTTGACAATGGTGTCAATTCTGCACGATTCTCTAAACCTAAACTTAAATTTAACAACAGCGTATCCTTGTCTTTCTCTATACGGAATGAAAAGGAGAGATTGATGTTAAATTTAGTTTTAAGTTTAAAGATTCACGCTAGAATCGACACCAATATCTCCTTTCCGACTCATTTTACGATAAAAATCAGTTATAAGACAAAATGAAACTAGAGACAATTACCTACAATTTATGTATCTACCTTTTTTCATAAAGTCAATAGTTTTGGCGGACGAGCGCCGCAAAGTGTACTCCAACGCGCGCTTTGGTCATTACTCATTATTGTGGATGCTTGTGCTTGTGACAGCTTGTGGATGCAGAAAGGCTGGGTTAAACGATCTTAGAGCTTAAACCAATATGGTATATGCTCTAAGATCGTTAAATTAAAGATCTCAAGTACCTACAAGCTCTGCCTGAAGTTACGGTAGAATATTGTTTTGTTTAGGGTTCCGTAGTACTGAAAAGCTGACAATTTATGAAACCTACAAGCTTTTCTTTCCATACCACAGAACTAAAAAACCTCATTATTTGTTTTGTGGCCCATCTGTTCCGAGAGCAAGGTGCTGTCAGTAAAAGCACAAAATATATTTTGTGGAATAACGTGGACTAACATTATTTATTATTAGTAACTAGTGGGTGCCTGCGACTTCGACTGTGTGGAAATATTGGTTTCTCATACTTCCACCCCTTTTTTCATCCCCCTAAAGAATAATTTCTGGGATAAAAACAATCGTATGTCCTTCTCCTGGACTCTAACTATATACTTCTATATCCATTTAAATAGGATCAGCGGGGTTTAAACGTGAAAAGACAACAAACAGACACACATTAGTATTTATAATATTAGTAAGGACGTATGGATATGGACAGACAGGCAGTTGATTTTTATACTGATTGTGATATTTATTTCTGTTTATCGCTATCATAATTTGACGGTTTTCAAATAGCGTAGCAAAGTGGTAGCTACTTACCACACACACAGATAACAAGAATACTTGTGGGGTAACTGACGTTGTACAAACGACGTTGCCTTTCCAATCATCTTCTCCTTGTCGTCCTAAGACCCAATCCCCTACTCAGTAAGGCTTAGGAACTTAGGAAAAAGAAAGCGTTTCAATGCGACCGGAATTCCGCTAAGCGCTACCTCACTATGGGTTATTATAATACTAGATTCTTCTACTACACGTATATTCTATACGGTTTTATAACTGTTTGTTTATGAATCGTACCTACTATATATAATGTAACTTATAGACGAGACCAGGGGAGGGACAGGGCTACAGAGGGGCCTAGGAGCTCGATTGAATGAGATGGCGCGACCCGGCCGGGCGCCCCGCAGCCGCAGACCGCGTAGAGACCGTTAGAAAGACGTGTGTGTGTGCGCCGCTCCGCACGACCTCAGCTCAGACGACTCGACAAAAACTCTAAAAATACACGAATTTCAATACCGACGCAACTTTGTGGGATCCACTAAGATGTTCAGTGATTTCTAAAACTCCATGAGTCTCAAGTGTCGTTGCATCGAAAATGTGAATCTGATGAAAGTAGGGAGTGTGCTTTCTAATAATTAATTTCGTACTGAGATGTCGGCAATTGTATTTATACATAAACCTACATGAATTTTAGTGAGAAGGTGAGTTTTTTTTTTAATATAATATAAATTTTAGAACTTGAACTTTTTTACAGAAAGCTACCTATCCGATTATTATTTTTGGTAGTACCCAATAAGTACAAAAAATATATTTTTTGAGACTTCGATGAAATATTATATTTGGTCGAAGTTTTCGTTAGAGGCAAAAATTCTTTATATAATGAATAAATATAATGAAGTGGAAAAATCTATGTAATTAAAAATTTAAAAGCACTGATTTTTTACAAAGTTTCAGTCTAATGACGAGTGTTTTTTTAATTGACGGTTTATTATTGAACCTCTGTCAAAAATAAAGTCTTAAACAAATACAAAATACGATAATACTAATACGAAATTGATATTATATTCATGTTAAGAGGTGTTACAATAAAGACTTCAGTTTGTTTGTTACAATTTCACGCTTAAATCACAAAATAATGAGATACATAGGACCCTGGAGGCGGTTTGAGGCTAGTTTTTGTCGTGAAAATAAATCCCAAACCAATTTTTAACCACCCAGACGAAGTCACGCACGTATATACCCACTAGTTGCCCCTGTGATAAAAATAAAGATCTAATTCACAAATCTCTACTTTACGAGGAAAAATGACATACTAACTCCAAGTGTATTTTTTCCCAGGTAATGCGAGGAAAGAACAGTACCAAGTTTTATTTGGTGGTAGTGACACTAGCACTTGGGTATGCGTCGGGTGAGATCCAGTGTCGGCGCGGGGTCAGCTGGTGGGACCGCGAGCGTGGCGTCTGCGCCCCCTGCACACGATGCGACCCAGCACGCCGCCTCGCCGTCATGTACCCGTGCGAGTTGCACAGAGACACCATTTGCCAGCCTTTTTACCAAATACAATTCTTCCCATTCAAGACGAACACGAACTCGAACAGTAGTGACCCAAGTGCATCCAGTGACAGTGAATACGAATACGTGGACTACGTGGACACTAGTGAAGTGATAAATGAAAGTGAGGACGAGGGCCGGTGGGACTTCCAGGTGTCCGGTGTAACGATAGCGGCTAGTGGTTGTGTAGTTTTCTTTTTAGTGGTGCTTTACTTCTCGCTCACTCATGCAAAGCAGTGGAAAGTGTTGAAGCAAACGCTCCAGTCAGGTAAGAGTACTTACTTCATAATTACAGACATTTAAAGTTCCCAAAGTAATTTTCCCAATATCGTAACTTGAATAATGGAATAGGCTGATCAGTAAGACTTTTCACTTTACTGATTTTTTTGCAAAAATGGAATACAAGCTTAAAACCATCCTGATAAACTTAAGTAAGCGTCTTGTATGATCTTAATTAAAGAACCATGCTATTAATATCGCATAAGTATATCCCACCAAAAGCATTCTGTAAAAAACTAGCCAAGTCTCGATAGAGCTGCTTGTTTATCTCTAAAAAGTAATGAAATCTAGACAAAGTCGTCCCAAGTCTAAGGTTCCCTTTCTGTGATTTCTTTATTATTATAGTTACTCCCAAATATATTAAAAATCTTTTGTTTTTTGTTTTTATTCTCGTCATTAATATCGTTTTGGGTTAATATTGTTGTTTAATTCACATAATATTATGACCATAAAACAAAATACGTCAGCTGCAACTTTTTTGTGCACATAGAAAGTCAGTCGAATAGACTACATAATTGGTAAATTGTTTTCGGTGATGCTAGCGTATCACCGACAGCTGTTGTCGTCTATTAAATCATTATTTTTCTGAGAAAATCACATTATCCCTCAGCTAACCAATTGCAAATACGTTAATGAGGTAGCTCTGACGACAGCCAGTTAATCATAACTCATTGAGAATAACTTACTACTTGTAATTTTAAATGTCTCCATCCTGGTCTCCCTTGTTTCAATGCGGTGATTTAACAAGATAGAGTTCGTAAGTACTTTACTTCCCTAGCCTACCAATAATCATACATAAAAGTGACTACCACAAGATATGAGATAAAAAAATAAACATATCTTACACCCACACAGATTTAGCCTAGCCACAAAGTAAGTACTGCTATAAGGCTTGTGTTGGAATTGGGATATTAGAGCAAGGGATAGAAAAACTTTTAATGTTTCATAGATATGTATATTTTTGTAACCATAACACTAATATAAAATGCATATCATGGTTATTCATCATACAAACATAGACGACCTCCGTGACCGAGCGGTTTGTACGCCGGGTTTCAAGGTGTCTCCTACTCGAGAGGTCCCGGTTTCGAATTCCGGTAGTGGGCAGATGTTTGTGTGATGAATTTAATATGTATTTCTATTTAAATATGTTATATAATATATGTTTCAGTATATGTATTCTATCCGTTATCCTAGCGTTATATCACAAGTACTTACTTTGGGGCTAGGCTAGTTGGTGTGAGTGTTGGAAATATGTATTTATATTATTTTCTCCTACCTGGTTTCGAACTCAGAACCTCAGACACACCTTGAAACGGTGACGACACCTTGAAAACCACGGAAATCATCTTGCATAATAATCACTTACAGCCTTTTTCAATAACCAAAATCCAGTAAGAGATAGATAGATAAATCATTTATACAAGTAAACAAATAGAAAAATTAATTACTAAATATGTACTGTGTGCCGCAACGACAGAAAAAGGCAAAAACTCAGCGATTCCTTTGCTCTGAGAGCAAAGCACTGTTTTTCAGTTCTAACTAGAAAGCGCGTTACGTGCATCGACACCGACGACGCAACGTGATTAATTAATTATTATTAAATTAAAAACATAGAGATTGAGTTTACTGGCCAAGATGTTTTATTATTATGACTATAATAACAATTGTTGCTTAGAAACGGAACCGGATTAGCCTTCCTTACCTTTTACTGAAGGTTAAATTATTGAAACTGGCCATTAGTAGTAATTATGAAATAAACAATAAAGAACGTATACATTTTAGCAAAAATCGCACTTAGGTTAGTCCTCGTGCCTGTAGACATTTATAGAAAATGCAATAATGTTGCCTTTACCAGGCAGATTTATATTTTTATTTATTCAGGACCGGTCGCCGCGTGACATGGCCACGATTACGATACTTCGTCGTATTTCTTAACCGAATCGAAGTAAAGGCGACATTGGATGAATAATAAACCAACAATAACTCCGTTCATACCCATCTCAAAATAATACAAGTACTTATTACTTTGAGATAACCTAAGTGGTCGCCAGTAAACGATGAATTGATTTGATGTTTCAATACGATATTTAGTTTGTGGTATAGTAAGGTTATGCAAATTATGCAATGAAGATTTGGACAATAACTCATTACATTTGGTACCATCACTTTAGCATCTTTTTATTAACATTGAACTTAGCCGCCAAGGTTGAAAAGGGATTGGCGAGATTTGATTTCGACTGACGTACTTACTGATAATAATAAACTAAACGTTTATTATATTTTTTAGTTACAGTTATTATTGTACTTATAATCACTGAGCTTAGCTTAGGACGGACACACGGACTAACATGGCTTTTTTTTATAAAGGAACTCTAAAAATGTTGGTCATGTAGTATATTTTTTAACTAGTTTGTTCGTTAAACTAGGCAGGCAGATTTATAGCCAACATTTCGCACTATTTCTCCGTTTATTTATAGATAAATCAATCAGTATACTGTAAACATTTTGTATGTTTACTTTATTGGGAAGTCAAATTACGTACTTTTAGAACATTTTTATATAGGCTGGTTTCTCAGTGTTATTAACCTTAAGTTTTCGTTTACATCTTTGCTTACATTCAAACAGATTCAAAACTACTTATATATTTTTATTTTATGCTTTTTTCATACACACTCTACAGATAAAGAAGACTCTTGCCTAACTTTTCGTTACATGATAATTAATTGAACAAGGTTTATACTTTCGCTGCACTACACAACACAAACCAAAGTTTGTAGACGCTTTTGCTTGTTTTAAATACAGTTTATTAGTTTGCGGTTTAGGCCAGTTTCGGCGCACGCGCCGTACATCACGGGTAAACAATCGCGTTTGTTTGAACATGTGTGCTACTAATTTTGACCTGCGTAGCGGGCACGCCTAACACAATGCCTAACGGTTAGCTGTGCAACCGCCCATTCCAAAATTAGAACAAACAACTATTGAAAATTCTATACTATTTTATAATGCGAGGTATCTACGTGTGGGTACTGTGCTGACTGCAAGTAGCTGCAGGTACTTTGTAGACAGAGTAAAGCAAAACACCAGCTAGGACCTGTAATCTAGTTAAAACAAAGGGGCTGCTAAATAACTCCTTAAAGAAAACATCACATCCATACATTATTCTCTTCTATGTCAAGTTCCTAACACGGGTAAATCAGTAGGTATTATCTTCACCTTTTAGTCATACGACGCCCACTGCATTGACCTTCCCGTTTTATTTTATTTATTTGCAGGTAGGAGATATCAAAGAACTTAAAGGCTGCATTTGTTTTATTTATTACATTTAAGTAATCGTCAATTTACCCTGTAAATAAAATCTGTTTAATTTTAAAAACAGCTTAGGGCAATTCAGTTTGTCATTTGGTCACTACTGTTTCTGGACTACAACTTCAACAAAATTTATATAATGCCATTGGTCATAATTAACTCATTAGGTAGGATAGAACAAGGGATGTAGAATTAACTTACCTATATAATGTAGGTATACATTTTTGCAGACATGCAAGATCTGACTGCGAAGATGAAACTGATGGAGGCTGGCGGGGAGGCGAGTGAACCGGTTGCTGCAGACCACCACGTTTACTGCAACGTGCACGTCGGGAAAGACATACTGCTGGGTAAGACAATTTCAAGTATGAGTACCTATATACTGTTCGATAGCTTAGTGTCTTCTTTATGTGGATTTCTCAATAAAAATCGGATATTCAGGTTGTAGAATATTATTCAAAGTAAAATACAGATCTTATGAAATTATGTGCGTACGTTCTTTTGAATACGAATCGCAAGAGGAAAAGTGAATGTATAAAAAACTAATGAGTGAATGTAGTAACCAATGGGTATGGAATGAATGTATGAACGGACGATGATGATGGACCGATTGTAGATTCTCTCTTCGAAGTTTAGATAGCGTTAACATATACTAACAATAATTTTATGGTCTCATGGGAAAATGCATAATATAATATAACCAAGACTCAAGACGTAATACCGAATCACGGAATTTTAATAAGTTAAAAGTGAGAAACTACAGAGCAATTACACAACTATTGGACTACTACATAGATGTTCTTTGTTCTGTGCTTTACTTTTATTTAGCAAATTTTGTAAAATAGCAAGTTAATAGCCAAATTACTTTACCTATATTAAAAAAAACACTAAGTACTTCTTACTAAATTATCTGTTCTCATGCTTTCTGAACTATCGCGAATAGGTTGAGGAGGAGATACCACGCTTTCTATCTACCCGGACTTATTTTGCCTGACTACACGGACGTCGCATTTCAAATAAAAAGTAGTAACCTGTACTAATATTGGCAATATTAGTACTATAGGGATATCGATTTATGATCAATATCACACTATCAAAAAGGCAACCATTTTTTTTAATTTAATAAGAGACAGGTGTTTTTAAACACCTTATTTTCTAACTTAATGTTTAATTTTTCGACATATAATTAGTAAAATGTAACCACTGCATACTTGAGAATTGTAGAGTTTTACCTAAAATTCAATAAAACATCAAAGTTTTGGTGTGCCATTCTTTAGTATAATCACTAGTATGGGAGTACAATCATTGGCACATTTGTTAATCACTGAAACGTATTATATTTGTTTTGCTTTTCGTCTTTTTATACTTATTTTAAATCAAGTTCACAACCACCGCGCTCAATGGTCGCCCACATGGCTGCCCAATTAGCTACCCCCCAGATGCCCACCTAGCTGTCTAGCAAGTTGTCTAGCTAGCTGTCTAACTATTGCCTAGCTAGTTGCTTAACTAGCAGCCTAGCTAGTTGCCTAGCTAGGTTGTGACGGAAAATTTTCGCCTCAAATCTATACATACACTACGAAAATAAACTTCGTTGCAAAATATAACTCAGCAACACACACAGCGGAGTTTATCCGATAAAGAGATGGATCCAGTATACTTTTTAAAATGTTCCCTTTTTCTTAAACTGCATGTTAATGACAACACAGCGTAGTTTGAGAAGACTTGCGCTAGTATGCGCTTTTCTAAATTTTCGGCCCACAAAATGTCCGCATACCGAGGACTTGGCTAGTCCTTGGTGGACACTTTTTTCTAGCTTGAGGGACTGTCCTCCGCAGACAAAATTATACATTATACATATCTAAGTATCTTAAATTAAGGTAGTTAAATATTATCAAAATTAAAAAATATCCAGTCCCGGTAGCATGAGCACCATAATTTTACATTATATCACGTTTTTATCGCGTCTAATTGTCAAACTCCATAGTAATTTGACATTTGAGCGTGATAAAAACGCGTTATGTATCAAATATGTGGAGGTTTTTAATTGGCTTTTAGATATTGTTTTTTGTTTATTTAATAAGTGATACATAGCTGTAAACCTTCCTAAAATAAATAAATATCGTGGTGCTCGTGCTAGGGGGCCGAGGGCCAATCACTGATATACGTGAGGGCCAACTCTATACATTTGAACCTTTTGATTTTGAAATATATAATATATTCTATATACATAATTATATTGAACTGCTAAAAGTTTTCTTATTATGACAATCAACATTAACAACATTGTGGAACTACATTTGTAGGGGCCGTTACTAGGACCCTAACGACTGTCAATATGTCAATGACGTCACGGGACGATAGTTAGGAATTATTAAAAGACGTCCATATGAAGTGAATGCCTTTTATTGCACTGTCACATAATGCAAAATATTGTTCATAACAAAAATAGTAGGTCAACTAAGTATATAAGCAGGTAGTGCATCGACTCGGAATGCAAAATATAATTAAAATGGCTCGTACATGTTGCCAACGACAACAAAAAAATAAAATATAAAAAAAATAAACAAATGTAAACTATAAAAAAAGTTTTGTCAAATACTTAAGTAACACGAGAGAAAAATTGACAGGTAAATTCACTACGGCTGGGGTAAATTGTAAAATTGATTGGTTCGGGTTCGGTATAGATAATTCCTTCTTCCTCGGTCGTTGGGTTCTGGCAGCCATCAGCGCCAGAATAGTGTCTGTCTGTCTTTATTTTGTTTATTTCAATTCGATGTGCTCTGGAGGTCACCTTACTTCGTAGAGCTAAAGCCGAGCCAAAACAAATAAATGTTTCGTAATGTGCCAAAATGATTTTGTTCGCTTGCCAAAAATTGCAAAAAAACGTCCGTGATTAAGAAGGTTACTTTCACGAAAAAGGTTAAAACGTGAGTTCTTAGCTTAGGAAGGTACCATACGCTTAAAAACTTTTTTATTTTATTGTATACTAGAAATCCGTCCCTCAATTCGCCCCGCCTTCGCACGGATGAAAGGGCATCGACGAAATCGGCCCTAAGATGCCTAAAAGAATGTCCTTCACTATTATTTTTCTATAATTTTTTAATTTATTAGCAATTAATCATAATAAGCGAACAATCTGTTTAAAACAATAAAAAATAAAAGTTCTGTTACTAGATACTACAGTCTATTCATCCTAACTTGTCCTATTTGGTAAACAATCTTGGCACTCCTTTTTATTGAAAATACAGCATTAAAAATCAACTGATAACTGGATTCAATAGGTTTCAATCTATAATAATAAATTAATAGTTTATTAGCTTCGTTATTATTTTATATTTAAACTGGTGATTTTGTAAAAAAGTTGTGCCAAGATTGTTTACCTTAATAAATGCAATATAGGCGACCATAGGTATTTATCAACATAAGAATAGAACTAGGTACCTTAGTTAATCCTTAGTTAATAATTCTTATCACTAGTATTTATATTATATATTTTATAAAAAGATTATTTCTGAAATTATGTGAAGATAGTTTATATTCCCATCCCATATAATATCTGTTAATTTTTATGAAAATTATAATGATAACCAGGTAAATACTATATTACAGATAGTAAAATATAGAAACAGGTAAATGGAAAGACTTGGAACATTTCATTTGAAAAGAAATCTATTATTACTACAGGTATAGGTATCATAGGTGCCAACTGCCAACACTCATAAATCAATATGAATTTAAGCATTTATTATTTTTATAATTAATTGCATTTTATGTTCATTTAATGCATATTATTTAAGTGCTTACATAGAGATAAACACTAAATCAATTTAGAATATATAAAATGTACATCTTTTACGATTAAGTATAATAATGATAACCTCCAAATCTAATACATTCTGTAGTAGGCCACGCTTCCTCAAGTATGTCCGTATCTCAACAAATGCCTAATTAGAGTTTATGAATGATTCCGAACACAACTAGCATTTTCACATTGCTGTGCGTTCTAGGGCATTCAATGTATGGGGAACGAGCAATGTCCTTTACTAATGATATAATTAGAAGTGTAGAGATATCAGGACAAAACAACCCAAATTCTGAGAGATCTGTTGGATCCGGAGTGATTTTCCAAAAATATTGTTTCGTAAAAAAACCTTATCTGAATTTTTCGAACACATAAAATAAATAATCCAGCCAGAGAAATCTGAAGACAAACCAATTATTAAGATGACATAGCAGACTCGCAATCCTGATAAATAAACAAAATAAATAAATAGCTATTGATACTAAGCGACTCCATCCAGATATAGGTACATCATTATATGGAGGTTACAAAAACTATCGCATTATACTGGTACTGGCAGGTGTTCTAAAGTGCACATTAATCGAGGTCGCGGATGCCGTCACGCAAGTCTGATGCTTGTCAAATTTTAATGATGCTCACACGTTCCTATATAGACTGATTGCATGGCTAACGACCATGTAGTATATTGTAACACATATTTTGTAATAATTTTTATTATTTTTAAAGCATGTAACTGCTTGATGTTTAAATCTAAAGAAAATATAACTAGAAAAAATTCCACGCGGACCAGGCAGCAGACGGGACTCGAACCCGCACCCTTCGCAATCCGGGCGAATGCACTGACCAATTATGCTACCGCGGCCCTCACGGACCGCGTCGAAATTCCTTCTAGCTATTCTTAAGCTGCAAGGCAGCGCCATCTCTTCGCATTATAGGTAAACCCACAATGTCAAATGAATACTTTTACAAGTATTAAACATTTGAAAGAAGAAATAGCAATTATAGTTATAATTTTTATTATTTTTAAAGCATGTAACTGCTTGATGTTTAAATCTAAAGAAAATATAAATAGAAAAAATTCCACGCGGACCAGGCAGCAGACGGGACTCGAACCCGCACCCTTCGCAATCCGGGCGAATGCACTGACCAATTATGCTACCGCGGCCCTCACGGACCGCGTCGAAATTCCTTCTAGCTATTCTTAAGCTGCAAGGCAGCGCCATCTCTTCGCATTATAGGTAAACCCACAATGTCAAATGAATACTTTTACAAGTATTAAACATTTGAAAGAAGAAATAGCAATTATAGTTATAATTTTTATTATTTTTAAAGCATGTAACTGCTTGATGTTTAAATCTAAAGAAAATATAACTAGAAAAAATTCCACGCGGACCAGGCAGCAGACGGGACTCGAACCCGCACCCTTCGCAATCCGGGCGAATGCACTGACCAATTATGCTACCGCGGCCCTCACGGACCGCGTCGAAATTCCTTCTAGCTATTCTTAAGCTGCAAGGCAGCGCCATCTCTTCGCATTATAGGTAAACC